AAATGTTATTAATTTGAATTTAGGTTACATTATTGGATCTTATATGTTATGATGTTAAAGTTACAATTAGAATTGATAACATGGCAATGTAAGACTCTACAGAAGGTTGCTGGTCCTGGGACAAAGTGTCTAAGAGGACTTGTTGATAGCAACAGAGATATCAACACTGATGAATTTATCTCAGTGTTAATTAGCCTGTTTCATATAGTGTTATTAAGGCATCCTGCCAGTCTATTTGCTTTTTGTACTTGATCTCTCACTTCTTTGTTAAGGTCTCCATAGCCAGCCAGTGAAATTCCCAGGTATTTTATTTCCATTACTTGTTCAATATTGATGCCATCAATTTCTTTGTCATATCTGGTTGGTTCATTGCTTACTACTATTGTTTTAGTTTTCTGAGATGAGATTGTCATATTACATTCTTTTGCTCTTATGTTAAATCTGTGGACCAGTCTTTGTAGGCTATCTTCATCTTGGGCTATCAATATTGCGTCCTCTGCGTAACAGAGTATTTTTATTTCTTTGTTTCCCATTCTGTATCCTCTTCCTTTGTTAACGTTTTTGATGATTTCATCCATGATCAAATTGAAGGGCATGGGGCTCAATGAATCCTTGTCTTATTCCGCTGCCTATTTCTATAGGTTCTGTAAGACTCTGTCAAACGCTTTCTTTAGGTCAATCAGACAGAAATGCTGGTTTATTATACTTAGTAATTTCTCAGTAATTTGCTTTATAACGAATATTGCATCTGTACACGATCTTCCACTACGAAAACCCTGTTGTTCATCTGCTAAACTTATGCTTTTATTGAATATGCTTTTTTTGAATAGTATGAGTTCGCTCCTAATAGAATTAGTTCGCTCGTTCTCCATTCTTCCGTTATTTTATTGTGTTTTATAATTTTATTCATTAATGTTGTTAATTGTTCTGTCATTGCTGCTCCACAATAATTCAGTAACTCGTTTGGTATCCCGTCTTTACCTGCTGCTTTTCTGTTCTTCGGATTTTCAAGTATTTTCCAAAATTCCTATTGACGACGTGCAAGTACTTGGATGTGATACGAGAAACGATCGTGCGCGAGTAGCGGAGAAATCTTGCATTTTTTACTGCACATTTCATAGATTTCATAAATTCATATTGTCAATTGTCATATTTCATATTCGTTTGTTTATTTACACCTTCTGTCACTCAAGAAAATGGGATTTAGGAAATGCTGTGTTATAAATTGTAAAAATACAACAAAAAATTGTCAATTTAAGTTTTATTCGTTTCCAACTTCGAAGCACAAATTACTACAAAGAGAAAAGTGAATTTATATCATAAAAAAGTAACATAACCTAAATTATGCATTATTCTTTCGCCCGATTTTAAAGTCTGTTTGAAATAAATAATAAATAAAAGTTCACTTTTTAAGTGTAAATTTTAGTTTCATAACACTCACTTCGAGTTCATTTTAACCCAAAAATCAAGTTTAATCTTTAAATTTTATTTTTTTGAAGTTTACAAAAATGCATCAAGTTCAAGTTAACCGACATAACCTCAATCTTACTTTTTCTTCTTATTCTTTTTTGGGGCTACGTCCTTGACAGTTATCCGGTAACCTCGATCTAACATGAAAGCGCAGTAAATTTTGCTGATTTAGGACACCAGGTGTCGCTGTTCCGAACTTGCACGGTCACAATATTAAGTTCTTTATTTGTGGTAATTTCGCTGTTTTCGGTTCTAGCGTCGTCGTTTGTTCTTCCTCTGCATATAGCTTTTTTAGGTAGTCAATCCACGTATCCTTTGCTAAGTGTTTTGGTTCTATTAGTTCTTTTACCTCCGTTCTTTGACCTCTTATGAAGCGCCAAATTTCCTTTTGCAGACCGTAAAAATCATGATCCATTTCTTTCGAAAAGCGTTCCCAGTGATCATTTTTTATTTTTGTTACAAGTGCATGTGTTTCGTTTCTTATTGTCTTGTAATTATGGTATGCCTCTTGTGTTTTGGTTGACATGTATTTCAGGTAAGCTTTCTTCTTTACTTTACATTTTTCCTCCACTTCTGTACAAAACCATTGAGTTCTTCGCCTTGGGAACGCTTTATTTTTATTTTTATTTCTTTTACCAAGAACTTCCTTGGCCGAGGCTAATAGCGGCTTCCCACGGTTAGCGATATTGCGGACGTAAGCGGACCAGCCCGCACCACGCACCGTGGGAAAGGTCTCGTCCGTGGTAGCACAGACACGTCCGTTCTGGTGCGTCCTATCCATCTAGAGTCGGTAACATCAAAGATGCGGTATATGCTCGTGCTCGCGATTCTAGCGCGTCTGTGTTTTAACAGACAACTGCAAGTCAGAAGTCTTTCATTCGCTGACACAAGTAGTTGTCTGTAGTGTTGTCAAAGTTGTTTTGCAGTTTTTTTGCTAAAAAATGGAATGGACAATCGAAGTTATTTTTGATTTTTTAAATTTGTATCAAAATGAAACAAATTTATGGAATTCTACGGCACCAGAGCATAAGAAACGGAACGATATATACGATGTATGGAACCGAATAAAAAATCAATTGAAGAATAGTACTATTTCGATTAAAGAATTAAAAAGAAGAGAAATAATTTAATGCCGACATACAAGAGGTAAAAAAAAAAGTTGGAGAATCGATGGGAACTGGAAGTGGGGATGATGTTTACAAGCCTGAGTGGCCTTTTTATGATATAATCAAACAATACTGTCACGGACCGTAGTAAGAGCTCTGTCTGCGGTGCGTTGTCGTCCGTGCTGATCGGCTGTCCGCGATGATCTGTAGAATCGCCGATCGTGGGAAGCCACTATTAGATATTAAGTTTTTCCCGCGTTATCCGTTTATGCGTGAATTTTTCTAAAAAATTATAGTAGATTCGTATTCCTGACGTCAAGACCTTTCGCTAGAGTGGTGGGAAGGTGGGTTTATAAGAAAAAAAAAACAGTTTTTGTCAGTTTTTACAGCAGATTCGTATTCCTGGCATCAAGACCTTTCATTAGAGGGGTCGCATGTCAACATTTAATTTAACAAACATTTTATTTTTTGTTAAAAAAATGTTTTATTTTGTTAAATTTTTAGCTTCCCTTGTTCGGGATTTCTTTGCTAAATATTGTATTAAAAATTAATAAGTTCTTGTGACTGACAGAATGGCATGATTTGGTGAAGTACCATGGTTCCCAAACATATTTTTAGCGCTTTATACTGTTTTTGATGAAGAGTAAGTTGGTTCGTGTTAGAGGTAGAACCATAGAGAGTACACTCATAATCCAAAATCGAGTAAATATAATACTTAGTCAGTTTATTCTCATTAGATCTGATTCCTTTTACGAATTTTCATGATTCCGAAAATTTTCTCCCACGCCGATTAATTTCTTTGTAGGTTTAACTACAAAATTCAAATGAATAAAAAATAATTGGTGATAAAATTGGTATTTAGCCCCACGCTTTAAATTATATAAGGCGATGTCATAATTATGTGAATAACTTTTATATTAACATTAAAATACGGATTAAGACATATCTATCTGACTTTTCGTAGTAATTTAAATCACTGACGACGAGAATAAATTCTTTTTTTTCCTCGTGTTGTTTGGCTACGGAAAATATTTCATTCGCCGAACGATTTTATATCTAGTAGCCATTGGAATGTTGCATACAATTTTTACGTACACGGATATACAAACATTTACATACATGCTTAATAGTTGATACTTAGAATAGCTGATAAGAAAGACATACAAAACACTAAATCTGACATAATATATTTGCATACATATATTATATCAATATAAATTGTAATAACAATTAACAAATAACCCAAAATAACTACTTTTGCTTAATTAATTGGCTGGTTTTATCGGCCAGGTGAGATTATCTTCAACGAGACTGCCTTAAGACATTTGGCTACATTGTTGTGAAATGCAAGATAAAAACAAATCATGTCTTTTAATAGAAATAATCTTTTTATAGAAAAAGATTAAGGTCTGGTCTTCTCCTATGTGTTATTTTTCGTAAAACAATTATCTTCCTCTTCTTGTACACCTGGGTTACTCCCTGATAATCATAGCACTTTTGCTAGACTGATTGTAAAACCTGTAAGGTCCTGCGTTAGAAAAACGTCGAGCTTTTTGCCCTCAGTATATGTAGGTTGATTCAAAACTCGTCTGGGACTATTTGGGTGCCCTGTTTCAGGCTGGAAGCTGACACTAGCATCGGTTAAAGGGCACAAAGGCTATGTAAGCAATGAGAAAGCTGATTAACTGTCCTGAGAAAGACTTGTAAGTCATTAATTGGTCCGGAGGCTTGCTTTGGAGTTGCGAACGCACACAAAACAGCAGCCATGGATAAATGATTATAAGAAAAGTCTTGGGAATGCATCAGGGAAAGACATGCTAAAGAGTTAATTAAGGGACTTTCAGCCAAATTCACAGCCGACTTATTGGCTCACAATCGAAAAACTGTCAGGTTGATAGTGAGGCTGTTTACTGGATAATGTAGGCTCAATAAGCATTTGAGTCGTTTAGGTTTCACGGAGAAGGAAACCGCTTTGCACATTTTATGTCAGTGTCTCACAAGACTGCAGTATCTAGAACTCGGAGAGGAAAAACCAAAAGCATCAGTCTATATGAACTGACCCCTTTCAAGGCTGTGGAAGCTTATTAAGAGAATAGGGCTGAATGATAATAACCCGAACATCCCAAATGAAGCTGTGTAGTATCAACACGATGAGCTACTCCAGATTATGATGCGACCGTTCGTAATTATTTGAACGAAATATGTCTAAATCAATCGATTGGGAGTAGGGGCTTTATAGAATGACCCGCTAGGTTGCTAGATCTTACTCTGCTGGTTTTTTTTGTGGGGTTGTATTAAATTCAATAATATCGACGAACTAAAGGAAAAAAATCGTACTGAACTGGAGTAAATCTAAAAACAATATATACATTTTTGAGTTGATTGAATTTTTGTTTATATTACCTGTTGTTTATTTTTTTACAGACAATGATCCGAGAAAAATAGACCCAAAGACTGAAGAAGCAGTTGCTTTATCAAGAAAAACAAAAGTTAGTAGTATTTCATTAAACATTCCAGCTGCTGGTCTCGGAAGCCGACCTTCATCTATCATAAGCACAACCACGTCAGATGAAGGAGGCTTCAATGAACCTTCCCCAAAAATAGAAGCCAAATTAAAGCCGCATGAAGAATCGCTCTATGACTTTCCTATAAACGAAGATAAACCTTTGGAATATACAGATTCCCCGATGATGTGAGTGAATACCAAGATTTAACGATTCACGAACCGACCAAACTTACTGCTGCTGAAATAGAAGCATTATATGCAGTGCCCCATAAGAAACCCCAAGTAGAAAGCAAACCTCCAATAGTCCCACAATTAGAAAGCGCCTTTTCGGACGAAGACGACGATGTACCACATTACGCGGTACCCTACAGACCAAGTCCCGTTAGTCAACAGAAATCTTTTACATCAACTGACTCGGATTCACCTGGAAGACCACACAGTATCAGTCAACAAAAGTCGGTAACGTCTACAGATTCGGACGCATCTCAAGTTACAGTAATACCTCAGAGATCGATCGACTCTGACATCATGTACCATGACCAGTCAAAAACCACGACGCCATCAGTATTAACGCAACTAGATAGCCAGGATAGTTTCGACAGAAGTGGCCAAAGCAAACCAGAGCTTACAAATAGGATTAGTTGTGAAGAGTCTGATAGTGTAGATCCGAAACGATCGGAACCATTTATACTGACACGAGAAGTACTCAAGATGTGTGATAAAACCGCTCGCGTACAAGATGTTCAAAGGTCTGAAGCCAATATACTAGATTTAAACGATGTAGAATACGCTGACGCCAGCGATAACGACCAGGAGAATAGTCTAGAGGAGAAACATGTACCTGAACCGGACGCCATGACTCAGGATGAGGCTGATAATTTGCTCAGTAGCAAGTAAGTTATCTAAATTTAAGTTAAGCTGATTATATAATTATTTAAGCATATTTTACTGTTTTAACCAACCTTGTTTGTTTTTTCTTGTTACATTTGTTTATACTTCAAGTCATCTTATATTACTTATATCTGTGTGGGGTTAGTTGTCGAGGCAACATCCTTAGACTTTTGTAGAAATATCTTTAGAAGCTGTTGATTTTATAACCAGGATTTAAATATGCTTCAGCTGACACAATTGTGGAAAATTCAGCAAATATTTTAAAATGACAAACCGACATTACAGAACTCTATATTTTAACTTTTTATTCTGAATATCCCGGAAATGATCACACCTACGACAAAAAGGGATAACATGAAGATTATGCGCATTTAAATTTCCTATCATTTTTCTGTGTACGCGCTGTTTTTTTTAATTGCACAAGCAACTTTTAGTGGGAAATTTATTGTAAATATAATACTTTTCGAGATATTTAAGATTTATCTTCTTCTTTAAGTATCGTATCATCTGTTTTTTTTATTCTTCTCAAAACTTTGTCATTTGTGACGTGATAATTATTGACTTAAGCATAGGTTGGCATTTCCAAATTTCAAAGTCCTTAAAAGCATTGCCATTGCATCGACTTTTATGGTCTAAATATCTACTCAATACAACAAGACAGAGTTAATTTAGTATTTGACAAATCTGATTCCGGTTATTTTGAGTCTGGTTGTTATTCTGAGTCTGTGGTTTCTTAGCCATATCTTCATCTTAAAGAAAGTTGCTCGTGCCATATAATTGTTCTTGTTATTTCTAGTTTTGAGTTTAAATTGTCTTTTCAATGTTGTTGATGTTTGTCAATCTAAGTGTTTGAATCTGATTACTTATTCTATGGGCTTTTCATAGATAGTTATGTTTGTGTAAAAGTGGGGTTTTCGGCCTACGGCCATGATTTTTTAGTCGTGTTAATTTTTAAGCCAAGATTCTCGCCTTCTCTGGTTAGTTCGTTTGAGTTTGAGGTCTTTTACGCCATCTGCTATCACCGCTTGGTCGGCAGCGCTTATTATTTCGCGTTCTTTTGCATGTTCGATGAAAGATGCATTATGAATAGTCATTATAGGGCACATCCTTGTTTTACTCCATACTTATAAGTGTTTCTTTTGCTAGATCGCTTTCCAGTTTCCAGTTACTTATGGCACTTGGTGTACATGTCGTTATTCGTTTTGAATCTACAATTTTCATTAACTTAAAATGCATGATACAATCATAAGTTTTTATGAGGTTTGTCTTTTTAGTTTTGCATATAGCCATTAGAGGGCGCCACCAATAAAATCTTCTGACGTAAATGTAACCTTAAGAGTTTCATTGCGATACAACATTTCGTGCAGATACAGGAACTTTGAAATTAGTCAGTCGAAAAATGGATCTTAGCCGAGAACATTTTCGAGCAATAACTTTTTACAATTTTCGGAGAGGATTATCCCAACAACAATGTCTCCCTGGAATGATTTTTGTGTTTGGGAATGAAGCATCACACCAGTCAACTATTTTCCGCTGGTATTGCGAATTTCAACGTGGTAGCTCCAGTCTCAGCGACGAATCCAGGCCAGGAACACACAAACCAGCAGTCACACAGCAAAACATTGATGCGGTTCATCAGCTAACTAAGGATCATCGCCATGTAACATACCGGTAGGCATCTTTCGGCTTTTCAAAGACCTCAATCCAAAAGAGCCTACATGAAGAACTGGGTGTTTCGAAGTTGGTTTCCCGTTGGATCCCTGATTTGCTCAAAGAAGAGCAAAAAGCAGTTCGCGTCGATTGGTATCGAAAAACATTGGAACGGTTCAACAAAGAAAGCTCAAAATACGTTTATAGTATTTTTAGTGGCGACAAATCTTGGATTTACTCCTTCGAACCGGAAAATAAACGCCAATCTGTTGTGTGGTGTTTCACAAGGAAAAACAACAAAAGTGATCCGTTCTCGAAGTGTGTCAAAGTAAATGGTCGCAATTTTTATGCCAAAATCTAGTCATATTGCAACAATTGCTTTACAAGATCGAAGAACGGTTACTTCTGATTGGTATATAACCGTTTGTTTGTCAGAAGATATCGCGAAACTCAGACAAAGCAACACACAATGGTGTGCTCACACTGTCCAAAAGAAAATAGTTTTTGGAGCCTCAAAACATCGAATTGTTAAACCATCCACCGTATGGCCCCGAACTGAGTCCCAACGACTTTTTTACATTCCCAAAGATCGAGAAATTAATGCGTGAGAAGCGATCCCAGTCGCCAGAACAAACCATCGATGCCTTTAAAACAGCGATTTTGTAGGTGTCAAGTGAGGACTGAAATAACTGTTTTACCAATTGGTTTGAACGTATGCAAAAGTGTATCGATCTTGGTGGGACATATTTTGAAAAGCAACAAAGTCTATATATTTTTGTCTTTATGTCTATATGCAAAACTAAAAAGACTACTTGTATATAGCCTATGAAGCAATGTGTACTTCCTTCTTCTATCTACAGGGAAAGTTCCCTTTCTTGATAGTTGCATTTTAGCTTTTAGACCATTAAAACTTTTATTGAAGAATAACTTTTCCAATTTACTGAGATATAGTGAATATAAATACAAAATTTCGTTTAATTAGAATAATATATACAACAATTATAAAAAAAATTAAAATCTAATATATTTTTATTGATTTATTGCTTACATTATAGGATTTTGGAGAAACAAAGGTGAGTTATTTTCACAATTCAAAAATATTGGGCTGATGGGTTTGATGGTTTTAAAGAATGGCATGTGGTGCATACTACATAACTTTTAACATCAGTCTAATTACTCACATAAGTACTAAAACTTATTGACATTAAATGTGGTCTTGGGACGCCTTGCATTACACGTTACAAATTGGTACAAGTTGGTACATTGGGTAATATTAATTTGTAAATATCAAATTCGGTTATTGGAGCCTTAACTTTCTTATTTAGCATTTCACATTTACACAAACAAGGAACACATTCATGATCATAAAGACTCGGTTGATCCGATATTCCGTTTTCTCTATATTACACACCAGATGTGAAAGGTGGACAATGAACTAACAAATAGAAGAATGTAGATGCCTTCGAAATGTATATGTTCAGACGAATTACGTTGGCATAAAGAATCACCAATGACGAGGTACTCCAACGCATGAGTAAACAAAAAGACTGTAAGAGAAAAATGCAATACTTCGGTCATTTATTGAAAGCTGAAACTTACTTCGACTCATTAAAGAGTAAAAGATCAGTAAGAAGAGGTCAGTATTCATGTATAAAAGACCTGGGGAGTTCTTTTGGCCACACACCTATAGAAATATTTCGTCCTGCAGTTTGCAAAGCTAGAATTGCCATTTGTATCGCCAACCTTCAGAAAGAGACAACGTAATAATAAGGTCAAGAATAATATTACACAATCTTGTAAATCACGAAATACTAGCAGAAAAAGAAAGAAGTTTCGAACGAATCAAAGATGATCAGGGTTTTCAGAAAGAAAATGTGCTAAAAATTCGCCAAATAAATGCTGTCCAAATCGATGAAATACGGCTACATTGAAATTAGGCCGTATGTACAAACACATCGTCATGGTTGGCTGTTAAATAAGACCAATAGGAATTTGAAACTTTTAAATACAAACAAAGAACTGATTTCCCTTCGTACTAGTCTAATTGGAAACGAATTAAATATGTACAAAATTTCTATACAAGTCTTTGAAGATTGTGTCCTTTAGTTACAGCTGTTTAAATTTACAAAATGAAAATTTATTTTTGAGAACTAATAAATTTTGTACTAAATCATTGTCACAAAGCCACTTCAGCTTCGAGCTTTCTGTAGCTAGATAATGTGATGCGTAGATATTTAAACTGCATCACTTGTTCTATTATCTGACTTTCCAATCGTAAAAACAAATACTGCTCAAAGAAACAATGTACAGCCTCGGAACCGGATTGATACTATGAAGACGACTACGGCAAGGAATAAGGACAAGCGAAAAAGATCCAAAACGCAGATGAGAATTACTACTGGGAATATCAAATCGATCAACTCAAGAGACCAAAAAATAACCCAAGTGCTGAAAGAGAAAGAAATAGATATTTGTGCTCTACAGGAAACCAAAAAGAAAGGAAAAGGACAATCAAAATTAGATGAATACATACTAATCTACAATGGAGTAGCAAAAGAAAACAGCCAAAGGTGTAGCCTTACTAATACATCAAAGGTACCAAAATCACATCAAAGAATGTCAAAACATATTAGAAAGAATAGTAACAGCAAAGATAAGAATGGAGAAGGAAGACGTGAACATCATCGGAGTATAGTTTTATGACTATATATAAGGGAAGCGTTTTATGACCAATTACAACAAGTAGTAGATCAAGTCAGAGGGAAGATGATAAGTTCGACAGTCGGGTAGATACAAACTCATACACGGAAAGCCAGCGAATGTGTCCTGATATTTCCACTTCTCCAGTGGAAGCTACAAAAAGTGCCACCTATTTCGGTAGCCTTAAACAAAAACTACTGTCGTTTTCTGTGTTTTTGAGCTGTACGAAATGTGTAAAAGATATACAAATTTTTTACAATAAATTTCTTATGAGTAAAAAAACAAACTAAAAACAGATAAAGTGAATTGAAGAAACGTGAAAACGAAGAATATGTCAGAAGTCAATAAGGACTGAAAAATACAAGATGGTATCAAAGAAATTAATAAATTGCTGTTAAATAAATGGCCCAAAGTGACTGTAGTAGGCATCGGTTGCAAGAAGGAAGGCAGCGACAGCCGTAAAAATATTTACAACTTGAAAGAAGAATATTTTTAAAAGATTATTTTAGTCTGCACACGAGACATAGAGTTACACATGCTATAATTCATTATAAAAATAATTGCTTTCAATGTTGTTAATGTGCAAGATTGGGTTTGGGATTAACACAATGTTCAGCTGGTGCCTAATTGTATAAATTAAATGTAATCCACGTAATTTACTGTCAAAATATTATTCTCTAAAAATAAGGAATTAAAAATTGTTTTCCTCCAACATTTTTTGGTGTCTTCAACATTTTACAATGCAAACATGTTGTTGCTGACTTTTATCATTATGTACTCCTTATAATTTCAAATAATTCGGAAAATATTTTTTCTTTTATCTTATATGTTTCAAGTTTTCCAAAATTACATTTCATCTTTTAGTCATAACTCTTAACCAGTCTTTTCCTATCTGTCTATTTGTGATCTAGTCCCTGGATTTGTTCCAGCTATGCCAGTACCGGACTTTTTATAAATCGGACATTATCTGTGCTCATTGTTCAATGCATCGATTTCATCGTTTTTTTATGGGTCTCTTCAGCATGAGTTACTAAGGTCTTGGCATATATTAGCGACCAGTACCAACAAGCTCTTTCGGATAATTTAACGACATTATAGGCAAATCAACGTTAGAGGTCTCTATTTAATTTTATGACAGTTTAAATAGTTGATGACAGATGAAGTTTATGACCCTGTAAAAACGTTGCCTCCAACTCTTACCTTATCTTTTGTCACCAAAAAATCTTTATAGAGTCTTTAAACTTATTTCTGTAGAGTATCTATCAAGTGTGGTGGTTGAATTTTCCTACTACGGTCGTGATAATTCCTCTATGTTGACTCGTTCAAAAAAGCGCTTGTAGCAACTCGATTTGTAACCGCCATCAATCTTCATTATATTAAAAAATGTAACCTGTACAAGATTTCAGCCCTGTAGGTCATTATTTTCTGATGGTACCACCCAAAAAATGCCACTATTATTTATAAATTAATAGAGAGAAAGTTTTTTCCAATTTGGCAACCAATTTTCTGTAGGTAGTGGCTGGCGATTGTACTTGGTGTAAGCGAGTGTATCTAATGATCTTCCAAAATTCAAACGCAAGACAAATTGGACATTGTTTTACACTCTTTTTGATGCCTACATAAGTGATAAGACGTAGAAGAGTTTTAATTGCGAATTAAGTTATATTTGTGTGGTTATTAAAAAGGCGCATTCTACTTCGCGCCATTTTCTTCAAATAGGTCAATTCTAGTAAAAAAACTTTCTTACCTAAGAAATTAAAGCATTTTAGGTGTTGCAAAGTTAGTATGCACAATGAATTTTCTACAGCATTTTATTCTTAACATGAACAAAAATTGTTCAAAATAAGATTGATTCCCAATAATTTTCTAAGCCCAATACGCACAAACGTATTTCTGACGGATCAGTCTATATAAATTTAACGACAAGAAGAAGAGTTAAAGCTAATAGCGATGAGTTCTGCATTACCATAGATTGTGATACTCTGTCAGATCTAATGGTCATTGACCATCACTTCTTCACCAACCCTCTGGTCATTGAACATCACTCTCCTTTGAGCTACTCTGTATAATTATGTGTAAAAGAAGAAGGGATCAAGAGGTAATCGGTAAATACTGCACCCATATTCTGTGGTCCTGGTCTCATGTTTAACCTTTTGGTCATTTTCGACCACCAACTGGTATTATCAAAGACAATTCGGGAGCGAATATAAACTACTCTTTAGAATAAAAATATATTCAAATAAATAACAAACAAAATAAAATTTACTTCTAGCTAATACGTAAAATAAAAGCACGAATCCTCTTAAGTAAAACAAAAGACGGCGGTCTTCGGCGCTGATGCCGGTAACAAAAATAAATGTTCGTAAATAAATGTAAACGGCCTTCGGATGGGTAGGATGAAATTCTTACCAAATAAATATCCGGATCGAACTTAGTTCTAGTCGTTCTTTACAGCATTTTATATTTTCGGCCGGTGTTCCATCTCCAGCGCGCTTCGATGGTAGTGGTTTGTTGTTATTGGGAGTGTGGACACACAGAAAACTAACTGTTGGCAACCGATGACGGCGTTATCGTTACAAATGATAGGCAGCTTGGCGCTGCATTTGACCTCCCTCTTTATATAAGAGTATATTCTCGCCTTTTGTCTAATATTTAACTATTTTTTCGTTCGCATATTCTTATATGGCGCTTCTTATGCTTTTAAAATCGCATACATCGCTTAATATCAGCGTAATTTTTTCTCATTTTTTCATTTACAAGATTAATTATTTTCTGTATTTAAACAGAGTCCAGCTGCTGTCAGACGAAGAAGCGCAAGAAGTAACAAGACTGCTAAACATTAAAGAAAACGAATCGAGCAACAAATGGCTGCCAAACGCAACAAGTTCATTCCTGCAAGATTCTGTTACGGCTTCTATCCAAGACTCCTCCGGACCAGTTTCGCTGAACGATAGCTACAACCTACCTTCTTTGCATGACGATCAAGGTAAAGATTTTATCAACGAGCAGAGCCAAACGACTGACTTAGTGTACACTAAATTGAACAAAATAAAATCTGTCGAACCTTTGTCGCAATATTACGAATCCACCGAGAGTCTAGTTTCTGCGCAAGATGAGGAGGAACCGTCTAAAGTTGAAATCGACACTAGTGTTTCTGCGACTGATTCGGGACTGATAGGTAATATTATTGTTTTACTTCTAAATTAGTATACTTTATTAATGTTTAGTTTTTAATCTGTGTGTGTGAGTGTCTGTGAGTTTTTTTAAATTCTGGATTCTTTATCTGCAATTTGACAACTTGGCAACGTATGGACTTCTGTCAAAAATCAAAACCTTTGCGCACATTTTTTATTGCCAAGATGATGAATCACTATTTCATGTAAAAGAGATCTAGAAATTTTTAGAAAAGAGTCATGCAATGTGGATTGCATGACTCATAAGAGTCATTAAAGTGAATCACCAGTTTTTCTGAATGTTCTCAACAACTTTTCCCCTCAACTTCTCCGTCACAAGAGATGGGATCCCACTCCGTTCTTCATCTTGCACACTGGTTCTTTCTTGGTTGAACATCATGCACAATTTCGTCAGTGAAGATTCGTTCATTACATTCTCAATATAAACAACCTTTATTGGTCTATAATTGTCGATAGGGCGAACATTTTGCGCATTTAAAAACCAAATCACACTGCTTACTTCATATTTGGCGGGATATTCAATGATAATCAAACAATGACAGTTATATATCAAAGACTCGTGAGTAGCGAAACTTGGCTCACATTGATGCGACAACAATGGTAACTAGAGCGGGGATTGGAGCCGCGCGTTGTGCGCAATCGTTTTTTACTTTCTGGAGATCTTGGTATATTTTGTCATTCCTTTGCCGTGTCATCATGATATAAATAAGAGTATTTAATGGAATGGTTAGGTTAGGCTGCATCTTTATGCCGTTGAAAATTTTTTTAGCCTTATGAGGCTTCCGTCAAAAAGCTTCAACAATTAAGATGTGACCATAAATTTACATCTCTCTCGCCAACACACTAAGAACATCTAAAATTAATTAATGTGGTGCTAATTCTGTCTAAAAGCTTGTATTTTTGATCAAAATGTAACATGTTTCACTTACAGAGTGTATTTGTATAATCTTTATAAATTTGAGAGGTCTAACATTATCTCATAGAATATGTAAACTAATATATTCACAATTTTTTTAGATTCAGTCACCAGCTTATCAGAAGGCAACTATTTAGAAAAGACTGACGACGATTTTGTACCAAAGCCAGTTAGCATTATAGGAATTGAACACGGTGTCCACTATTACGAAGACGGTCACTTTTGGATGGAAGTTCCTGGCCTACCACCGGAAGAAGAGGATGAAGAAGATTTCGAATGTACGGAATATCTGCCCAAAACCAGCAGAGTGAAGTTTTCCAAAGAACCGATGAAAGTGTACTCTACATTCAGTATCACAGATTATGACCGAAAGAATGAGGATGTGGATCCGGTTGCTGCTTCGGCTGAATATGAACTAGAAAAACGAGTTGAAAAGATGGATGTATTTCCGGTGGAACTCGTCAAAGGTTCCGAAGGACTCGGGTTAAGCATTATAGGAATGGGAGTCGGGGCAGACGCAGGATTGGAGAAATTGGGTATGTATATGTTCAGATATGCAAATTTGAAATTATTTTTATTAAAAGTGACGCTTCTTTCGTTGTATCTAACATACAAATAACTGTTCAAGGCACATCAATTAATAAGCGCTAGTTTGTCTAGTAAATTTATTATATAGTATGAAATTTTGCACGGTATAATCAAAATATTACTTGTAGTTGTCAATAGCAAGCATAATATTAACGTCATATTGATAATAAGAATAGTGCAATATCCAATATTTCTACAGATATCTTGTTCTACAGAAATCTAAACAAAATGCGCAAAGAGTTTAAGCCAAGAATAAGTAGCTGTAAGGATGTAGAAGGAAACATCCTAAATGATACGGCCTCAATCCTAAACAGATGGGTTGAATTTTTCGATGCAAAATTTAATGGCCATCATATCGAAGAAGCAGATAACACCCTAGCAAATCGAAATGATTGGAATCCTTTCAACCCAAACGAAAGACCACCTACCATCGAAAACGTTGCCCAAGCCATTAAAAAGCTTAAAAATAATAAATCACCAGGAGTTGATCAAATTTGCAGTGAGCTCTACAAGAATGGTGGCGATGCCCTACTACAGACACTGCATAAGCTTTTACTTCTTGTTTGGCATAATGAGACCATGCCTTGTGAATGGTCTCAAGGCGTGATATGCCCGTTACACAAAAAAGGTGACCAGCTCCAGTGTGACAACTATAGAGGTATAACTCTGTTAACAAATGCTTACAAAATACTAGCAAATATTCTCTACGAAAGGTTGCAAGTTTACACAGTGGGCATAGTTGGTAAATATCAAGTTGGATTCACTCCAGAAAAATCAACAATTGACCAGATTCATTCAATAAGACAGATTCTCGAGAAAACATTAGAATTCAATATTGAAACCCATCACCTATTCGTTGACTTCAAGGCAGCATACGACAGTGTCAAGAGAACAGTGCTATACCAATCAATGCATGAGTTTGGTATACCAGAGAAACTTATCTGACTAACGAGAATGACAATGTCTAACTTAGAAGCCACTGTTAGAATACAGGGAGAGAGTTCTAGATCCTTTGAGATAAAGGATGGACTCAGACAAGGAGATGCTCTGGCTTGCCTCCTATTTAATATTGCCTTAGAAAAGGCAGTCCGAGATACACGAATTAGGGACGGCGGTACTATTTACAATAGATCGATACAGGTCTTAGCACATGCTGATGACATTGACATAATAGGGCGTAGCAAGCGAGATGTTGAGCAATATCTCCTAGAATTGGAAACAGCGGCGAAACAGGTCGGTCTAGTCATCAACGAAGACAAAACCAAGTACATGTTGGTTACAAAGGATCCGATAGCAAATGAGGAACGAGAAACAGTCTTTGGAAGTCATACCTTTGGACGTGTTGACAACTTCACATACCTTGGGTCGCTATTGACTGCTACCAATAAAACAAGCGAAGAAATCAAAAGACGAATAAATCTTACAAATAGGGCATACTATGGACTCCAAAAGCATTTCCACTCAAGAAACATTCAAAGAAGAACCAAAATTATTATATACAAAACATTGCTGAGGCCGGTCCTCACATATGGAGCAGAAACATGGACACTAACGCAGAAAGATGAAAGACTTTTGGGAATATTTGAGCGTAAAATACTCCGCAAAATATTTGGAGCTGTAAACGACCAAGGGCAGTGGCGCAGAAGATATAATTTTGAATTGTATCAGCTCTTTGATGAGCCAGATGTCATAAAGTTCATTAAAACACAGCGACTTAGATGGGCTGGACACATAATACGAATGCCAGAAAATACCATTGCTAAAAAGCTAACCACAGGAACACCTGTAGGAAAAAGAAGCAAAGGCCGACCGCGAATTAGGTGGTTAGATGGAGTAGAAACCGACTTACGAATATTAAAAATCAGAAGATGGCAACATGTTGCCAAAAACCGAACAGAATGGCGACGAATCTTAGAGCAGGCCAAGATCCACAGAGGATTGTCGAGCCAAAGATGATGATGATGCAATATCCAATATGGCAAGTTAGATCAAATGCGACGCTTAGGGACGCTTGGTTTACACGAAAGGTTGCCCGAGCTTTTAACTTTTCGACTCATTGAAGCGTATACAGTGTTGTTGTTTGAAAGACGTTGTGGAAGTCTTTATCTTTTCGTAAACCATACATATAATTAACCGGCGGATAGGACAGATAATATGTAACGAATCTAGAACTGTATATCACTATCGGAAGTTCGTAAATTGTCGGTATATACTCAGTGAAGGTGGCAAATTATTCTGGAAACCCAACAATTTGCTCAGCTAACTATAATTTTCCAAACGGGAGTTGTTCGAAGACTATTAGGTCAGGCCCAGAACTACAAGACAGTCGGCAGTAGCTCAACGCTTTAAATGACTTCGAGTCGGGATCTGGTGGCTCAGGATCGAGCAATTCCGAGGCAGCTGCTCTTTGACCGAGTAATAATAGGGAGAGGTAGTGACGTAGCTTGTGACGTGGTCACTATCGCTAAGAATAATTTGTTACATACTTTTTTTACTTTAAAATAACTGAATTTTTGATTATGCCGTATTTATTTCCTTTAGTAAACCATGATTTCTCGTATATTTTTAATACAAGATAGTTTGAATGTTTCACATCTACCAGACATCCCGCAACGGCATATTTTTTTGTTTATAATATAAATTCGGTTTTTTTTCTGTTTATAATAAAGTATTCTGATGTTTTACAGGCATTTTTGTTAAAACCATAACAGCAAATGGAGCAGCTGCTAAAGATGGCAGGATAAAAGTCAACGACCAAATCATTGAGGTCGATGGCAAGAGTTTAGTCGGGGTTACACAAGCTTACGCTGCGAGCGTTCTCAGGAACACATCTGGTTTGGTTAGGTTCAGTATTGGTCGGGAGAGAGATCCAGAGAATAGCGAGGTAGCACAGCTCATTAGACAGTCGTTACAGGCTGATAAAGAACGAGAAGAAAGACGGCAGAGGATGTTAGATGAACAACAACAGCATAGTGAAGCTAGCACTGTACAACTGACAGGTAAAATTTTTGTTCGATAAAACTTAATTCTTTTTTTTTTTTTCAATGCAATTACAGCAATAAAACATCGTTGCTTGCCATATTTCCCTTGTTGTCATGTTCACATTATGTCAATGTTGCAGCTAAATATTTTAAAAAATAGACGTAGAGTCTTCTTCTTCCTATGCCGTCCCCATTAACGGAGGTTGGCGACCACATTTTTAAAAGCTTCTCTGTCTTTTGCAACGTGGAATAATTCGTCTACAGTCATGTTTGTCCAGTCTCGAATATTTCGCAGCCATGACTTCTTCTTTCTACCTATTCCCTTTTTGCCATCGACTCTACCCTGCATGATGATCTGCAGAAGACTATATTTATTATTTCTTAGTATGTGTCCAAGGTATGCAGTCTTGCGTACTTTTATCGTTCTCAACAATTTTTTGACTCGACCCATTCTTCTCAGCACTTCCTCATTGGTGACCCTGGCAGTCCATGGGATTCTCAACATTCTCCGGTATATCCAAAGTTCAAAGGTTCAATCTTTTTAACTATTTGCGCTTTTAGTGTCCATGTTTCTACCCCGTACAATAGTTGCGACCAGACGTAACATTCAACAAACCTCAGTCTCAGCGCAATATTCAGATTTTTGTCACAGAACAATTGTTTGAATTTTAAGAACGCTGCCCTTGCCATTTCTATTCGTACCCGGATCTCCACCAAGAGTTAGTTGTTCATTATTTATTGGACTCCTTGATACTATCATAAATTTGGTCTTATCTGTGTTGATGTCAAGTCCCATTTGAATGCATTCACTATTTATTGCATCTAGTAAAGTTTGTAGATCTTCTATACTCTCAGCCATAATTACCGTGTCATCTGCAAATCTCATGGTGTTTATGATTTCTCCACCAATTTTTATTCCCTCTTTTCTTTCCCATAAGGCTTTTCTGAATATGACCTGTGAGTACACGTTGAAAAGCGTCGGAGACAAGACGCATCCTTGCCTAACCCCTCTCGCAATCGGTATATTATTTGTTTCTATATCGTTCACCTTTACTACTGCTTTCTGGTTCCAGTATATAGCCTTAATAAACTCAATGTCTTTTTTGTCTAAATTGATGTTTTTTAATTCATCTATTAACTTCATATGCTGCACTCGGTCAAAGGCCTTCCTAAAGTCTATGAAGCATACATATGCACTCTTGTTATATTCCCGACATTTCTGCAAGAGTACCGTCAACGCAAATAATGCCTCTCTTGTACCCATGCCTCCTCTGAAGCCAAACTGAGTTTCATCTGTTCCTCACATTTCTTATAAATTCGGTTTTGAACAATTTTCTAAAGAATCTTTAAAGGGTGGCACATTAGGCTATAGTCATTACATGATTTGGGATTGTTGTTTTTTGGTAGAGGTAAAAATATCAATTTAAGCCATTCTTCCGGGATGTTGCCCTCTACATATATGTGGTTGAGAATTCTGGTGAGTCTCTTTATATTACCGTCATCTAAGGCTTTTAACAGTTTAACTGGAATTTGATCAGGACCCGGTGCTTTTCCTTGTTTTGCATTGTGTAGGGCATTCTTTACTTCTGAGGGTAAAATTTGTAGGTATTGTTTTTCTTCACCTATATCTTGTTCATTTTCTCTCTCGTCATGGAAAAGATGGATTATATATTGTTCCCATACTTCCTTTATTTTGCTCTCTTCAGTAAGTATTTCTCCATTATTATCTCTTGTTATGAGTGTTCTTCTTTGTCTGGAGTTGCCTGTAAGTTCTTTAATTTTTTTATGTAAGTTTGAGGTGTCATGTTTGTTGCTGAGTTCTTCCAATTCCTGGCATTCTTTGTTCATCCATTCCTTCTTAGCCTTTCTGATTTCATATTTGATTTTATTCTTGATGGTTTTATATTTATTTTCATCTTTATTTTTGTATTTTCTTTTTTCAGTTATTAGCTCAACTATTTCCGGTGTCATCCAGTCTTTTTTAGTTATTTTCTCTTCTTCGCCTAGGACCTCCTTTCCCGCTTTTAGTATGGTTTTTTTCATATCTGCCCATTCAACGCTTCCTTCAGTTAATTTATTTCTCTGCGTTTAGTTGCTGTTGGCAGTTGTCGTCTTTTAGGTTTTTGATGTTAATTTTGGTGGTTTTAACTTTTTTCTCCGGTTTCCTGAGTTTAATGTTGACGTTTGCTAGTAATAGATTATGATCCGTATCTGCATCTGCGCTTGGATAGGTTTTTGCACTTTGTACTCCATTACGAAACCTTTTGTTAATCGTTATAAAATCTATTTGGTTTCTGATTATATTGTTGGTGTTATCTTTTGGAGAAGTCCACGTGTATAATCTTCGTAGGGGTAGGTCGTAGTATGTATTTGTTATGACTAATTCTTTCTCCTGGCAGTACTGGACTAGTCTGTCTCCTCTTTCGTTTCTTTTACCTAACCCAAAATTTCCTACTATATTTCCAGTTTTTCCTCGACCGACTTTAGCATTAAAGTCGCCCATAATTATTTTTACCTCCTGCTTCGTTATGTTTTTTGTTAACAGTTCTAAGTCCGCGTAGAATTTTTCGACGTCAGCATCATTGCTATCAGATGTTGGAGCATACACTTGGATTAGATTTATGTTTAGAGGTTTGGCTTTCAGCTGAAGTAGCATCATACGTTCGTTAAAGGGAATGAAATTTGTCACAAACTCTTTTAAGTTATTGTTGATAATAATACCAACACCATGGCTGTGTTCTCCAGTGCTTTTGCCTGAGTAGAAAATAGTATTATTATCCTTGGTGTAGTTTCCAGACTTTGGCCATCGGACTTCTGAAAGGCCCAATACTTGTATGTCTAATCTCTCCATTTCTAACATGACTGTTGTTAATTTTCCTGCTTCATAAAGTGTTCTTATATTCCACGTTGCTATGCGTTTTAAATCGCTTACACTAAATTTGTTTCTCCACCCGGGGATTCTTCGCACCCCTGTCCCATTAAAGGGACGCCGGGCACTCGGGGCCACTGTTTGATTTACGTCCATTTGTGGTTGTTCTTGAGAATCCTTAGGGATCTTTAATGCAGTGGTTTCTCCTTGCTTTCTGCATCCTTATGCCGTTGATCTTGGTTCATCCGCCTTTGTGATCGATTTCTCAATCTCAGGACAAAAGAGTGCCCTTCCACTTACCAACTCATCCGCCCGAAGCCGTTGGTCAGTAAGTGGGGGTTTGCTTATACCGGCAAACATTCGGTGATTTCGCAGTGTCACAACCGGTTAAATCATAATTACCGCCTGTGATTATTCAGTATCAGACCGGTAAAGAGATTTTCTCTACCGCTCCGATCCTGTAATGACATAGCAGCTGCCCTATGCCATGCTCTCAGTTGATCCGCGGGTGTTTATTTGGCAGAGCCTTATTCACACCTGCCCCACATATCTGTAGGACGTTCCCTATCAGCCATTGGGACGCGCCGTGTTGAGGTTGAGAACTACCCCCCTCCGAGTGTGCTTTCCAAGAAGTACTGAAGAGCCCCTACTCAATTCAGAACTCCTCCTTCTTGGAAACTACACCGGCACAGACGTAGAGTAAAACGATTTATTATTACTAAACATAAAGTTGTTTCACAATCTTAAATTTGTAGATAGTCCGGTTTCTTTGACTGGTTCCTATATTTTAGGTTCAGCGAATACAAGTGTAAGTGACGGACCTACTAGTCCAATTGTAAATCAAGAAGGACTTTTCGACCATGAACAAGACAATGTTGACTCTCTCAGAGCTTTACTAATAGAGGTAAGGAGTTGAATATAACATTACATTCCAATATAACATAAATCCTACGGATGTCTTATACAATTGTAAATTAAATGCCAGTAGCTCTAAACATTTATCTCTAGTCCTGTTGACTCTTAAAATGTAAATTCTTTTTCAAAATTTATAATGCCTATTAATATGTGTTAACATGTTTGTTGTGCAGACCCAACGTAAATATAATATGTCAGAGCTTGAAGTAGTTCGACTAAAAAACAAGGTATGTAGATCACGATTTAATATGTTCGTCTCATCTGATTGAATGTTTTAGCTCATACATCATGCACTGGTATTTTTTTGGTTAATAGATCATACAATATATTTTACTTTTACTTGCTAAATTTTGTAGTGTTGACAAGTTTTGAAACAAGTTCTTTTATCTGTGATAATTTATATTTTTTATACCGCATTTCTTGACGTCTGACAGCACGATCGCCTGCTCGATAAAGAGAACCCTGTGGCGTGCTACATCAGCTCAATTTAATTTTTATGTTTACTTTTTCCCAAAAGAAGGACGTTTCACGTTTGACATTGAACTAAATTTAAATCGAACAGTGACGTCAGTGGGCGCCGGACGGGGCTTGTGACGTCAGAGTGGGAGTGGAGGGGGTCTCCTAACCGACCCATACTCTGCTCATGTAAAATGATGTTAATTTTAATTTCTATGTGTTCTTATGACACAATCCATTGATTACTATAAAAGAAACTAATGCCTTTCTTAACACTTTAACTGCGATGTGTACCATACATAGACAAGGCAATTTTAGTTCTCTGCCATGTGTACATTTAATGGACACAGATTTTATCAGTGTTTCAGCCATGTGTCCGTGTGTCCTACAAGCAATTTTAGTTCTCTGCCATGTATACATATAATGGACACAGATTTTATCAGTGTTTCAGCCATGTGCATGTAGCTGGTACACATTTACCGTGTATTTAAATCGGAATATCATTGAGTCTGGCGTAGAACTATGACATTTAAAAATATCCTGGATTTTTTTTTAATTTTTAAAGGTATAAGAGATAAAATCTTAAAAGCAAACGAACTTACCTGAAGTTCGATCTTGATTATATGAGGCCTCATCGAAATAAATAACGTAATTAGCCAGAGGCGGAGGTACTACAAGTTATTTATTTATGAGATGAAACCTGAATATAATGAAAAGTAAATAAGTCTCTCATGCCATTCCATTTTATAACTACAATATCGTTTTTGGTTTGTTTGGCAATGATCTCCCCTTTCTTGAGTTTGGCTTTGAGGAAGATTTTTGGCTACAACATCTTTGAGGAAGATTTTTTCGGTTTGTTCTCAACGTTCCAATAAGATGAGTAGATCTAGTTTTAAAATTTTCAGCAAGGCTAACTGATGTATATAATTGATGTATACCAATTGTCTGTAATAAGAGTCCTACCCTGATCCAATAAAGGTGTTACAGGATTGGCTTACGTCACAGTATCCTAATTCCCACATCGATGACATACATTTGACTTAAAACGCTTTCGTTTAATTCTTATAATTGAATGATGTCTCATATGCAAAAACTTCTCAGACCGAGTATATTAAAACTGTATCACAGTATCATATTTTGAGCTCAAACTAATCGGTCACTATTGGAGACAATTCTCCTCTTAAATACGTAGAGAGGCTACCGTTATTGTCAGGCGTTAAGAAAAGCGATATATGGGCAAAAACAGTTTTAAACTAGATGAACGGTACGAAAAAACCCACATCACAATACGCAAATGCTGTATAGAATTAAATGCTTTTATATTCAAACAATATATAATTAAGAGCGTTAAATACGTCTCCGCTTATTGCTTTTGAAAATGCTTTCATTGCTGCGTTTATTATGTAAATGAATATTTTGTTATCAGTTTTTTTTTTTGTATAAATTGTAGTAAGGAACTGTTTAAAAATTTGATTTGTTTATAACATGTTTCAGTTCTCACTGTTCTGTATAAATTTAAAATTTTTTGTTGACTTTAGTTTTGTTGCACATTTTTAGTTTGATTTACTACTTCATCTTGGGCATTATTAGTTATGTTGTAGGAAATAATGGTTTTAATATTTTTTATTTGTCAAATTTACCAAAAAAACTTATAATTAAATTTTGGCGTGGTAAAAATTATTTATCGATAATAATAATTATGATAATAAACTTTTAGAGCCGATTGTTCGATCGCTAATCAAAATTTGATTGTAATCAAATATTTAATTACAATCAAATACGTCACAGCAGCTGTCAAAATTATAAGAGTTTAATTATGGTTTATTTTACATTATAAAGCAAAATAATAAAATTGAATAAAATACATCAGTCACCATAACCCCAAAATGTGACGTACTTGATTTCAATTAAATATTTGATTACAATCAAGTTTTGATTAGCGTTCGAACAATAAGCCCATAGTATAGTATAAGGACATGAGCTATATTTACAATACGATAAAATATTGATAAAACTTCATCTGGGCAGATCACTGATGGTGGTTTAGTTTCTGCACATTTATGTTTCCTCTGCATGTTATTTTCCATATGTGCTACTACAAATGATTCCGAGGATATGATAATCTGGAATATTTACTCTGAGTATGGTTTTTTTTTTCGCTTACACCATGAGATGCTAATCAACAGCCGGTTTTGAGAAGATAGATTTGCGCTTCCATGTAGAAAATGACCAGGATATCGTATGTCGTTGGGTCATCGCGATTGTTAGTTCCTTGGTACACGTACTAAAATACTGCCCAAGGTACATTTCCCACAAAACTTGTTTTATAACATATTTTATGAAAAATTTATATTGATGCACTTTCCTGTGGTATAAAAATGGAGCTAGAGGTTAGGTTAGGTTACACGAGCGAGCGATTTTAGTACAGGTTAGATTAGCGGACTAGGCGAGGTTTATTCAAGTTTAGTTAGGCGTACTAGCAAAACGATTGAGATTAGGTGGTAGGTGAAGTGTGCTAAGGTTTGGTTACGTTAGGTTAGAGTATAGGTACTTTTGCATGAGATAATACAAACTTTTCTGTGGGTGTGAGGCTGTTTAGGTTTTGAAAAAAGTGTTTATATAACTATCAATAGCTCATCGTTGAGATTGTTCTGAACACAATATTAACCAGTTTAATTTCTTTCTTTCTAATTTTTTGTTAAACGTGGCATCACTGTATGGCATAATATCAACATTCTATTCCACGGCTTGCGAACTATTCTTGTTCACCAGGAACATATTCGCCATATTGTTTTGGCAATTTTAAAATAATAGTATGTATGTATTTTTACACAATTTAACAATAAAACTCATGATATATTTATTATTTTTTGCTTAGGTTTGTTCTCATTGAGACAATTTCGTATTTGTGTTAGCCTTTCGTTTAAAAATTGTCGATATACTACAGCTGTTTAAGATTGTCCTATTTTTCAAAACAATATTACTAGTTTCAGACAAAAAAACTATATTTTCTCAGCTAGGTAAATGCATAATTTTTATCGCTACCCTTATACTATATAATTACCGATAATCATATTAGTAACAAGGCCTGCCAGCTTGAATAACTAAAATAAATGATTTGGGTAAAATTGTGAGTAGCAATTATTGATTGAAATGTAGCACTGACGTTTTTAGCCTTCTTGTAAAGTCAAAACACCACCAATAGCATCCCATCTTTGATTTAATTAGTGGTAACAAGCTCGGGGTATTTATATAATTCAGGCGCATTTTGTTCACTGTAAAAGGACTTTTCGGTGAGTTGACTTAATGGATCAAGAGATTCAAGAAATATTGCTAAATACTTAGTTCAGGAATATAAAAGTTTTTATTCCAGCCACACTATGACCAGTTTTGCAATACTTGTTGCTCTCACCTAGTGTTTAGGCCGTTTCCTGTATTTCCCACTACCGAGTAAACAAAAATATTAATAATTCTAGGCATCATCTAATCAAAGTTCGTGGATGATAGACATCCAATAATTATTGTATATTCAACTACATTACATTACAAACTATTAACTTATCGCTATTTCTTTCTTTTTCTATCGCTAAGTTAATTCTCATCGAAAAAAAAAATCAAATCCGTGTGTGAACAAACTATTTAACATATTTTATTATTTTCAGTTAATGGAACAAAATGGAGTTAAACCTGACGATTCGGAAAAGTTCGAACAAGCCACTCAAAAGCTCAAAGAAACAGAACGCAGTCTCCTCACAGCCAAAAAGGAAATACAAACGTACCAAAACATGTTAGAGCAGTCCCAAACTCAATATCAGGTTCTAGAAAAGAAATACAACCGAGCGAAACATTTGGTTCGGGAATTCCAACAACGCGAATTGGACATGCTACACAGAGAAGATTTTTATCAACAGCTCCTGCAAGAGAAAGATACGGAGTACAATTCTCTGGTGAAAACATTGAAGGACCGAGTAATAGCTTTGGAACAGGATTTATTAGACACCCAAAGGAAAGCGGGTTTACCGATGGTCCTTCCCTACGGTAACATGAATTTGAAACAACTTACTCCTCAAATGTCGAGAAGACAACCACCGAAACCTTTGTTCAAATCGTTGCAGCCGGATCTTTCTGATACGGAAATGTCCGATGCTAGTCCGGACGACGATAAAACTGCGACAGTCGAGAGAAAATTGCCAATTAAAGAGGAGTTCGACAGAGCGGTACCTCCACACGAACTTCTCGATATCTCCGCCAGCAAGAGCAAGGCTGAACTGGCTAATAGAGGAGCACTTGCCAATAGGTAAGTCACAGCAATTTTGAAACTAGTTTATCTCTTATAAATAGGTTAGAATAGTTCTTAATATACATAATTTCCTTTGAAATTTTACTTTACCATTTTCGAAAAATTGCAACAACAAAAATATGAATTATAATGAAGAATTTGTATTATTAACATAATTTTAACTCCTAAACTAACATTGTTTTCCTTAAACTTGGTGTAAAAAACGAACATTGTTATTTGGGTGGAAGGTGAAGTGCGTATGTAGAATCTGGTTTTCTATTATTGAAAGCCCTTTTATGTTCTGCTATTCGATTATTAAAATTTCTACCAGTTTGACCGATGTGAGTTTTTGGGCAGCCGCTACAAGTTTGTCAGTTTTGGTAAGTTTGTATACACCACTGTGTAAGTGCTTTTTATTTTGGCTCTTATTGTTTTTAATATATTTGTCTAAGTTGTTGTTTGTTCTGAAAGCTGATGTTGTTCCTTTCTTTTTTAGTGTTGTTGTAGTTTGCAGAGGTTTGATCGGTCAATTATTGGCAAATGAAAGACGTCAACTACTTCATTGATTTAGTAGAATACGTTTCGCTTTTATTTTTTTTAAAGCATCCTCAGTTCTCTACAAAAAGTAATGATATTAGAATATAAGTAAAAAACGAACAGTATTCATACTTAAAAAAACAATGTGTAGGTTTTTATTATGATGTTATGAAAACTTACGATAACTTAACATTAAAACTTAACAATCTAAACGAGAAAAAAAAAACAAAAACACTAGAAAAAACTGTATGCTAGTCCTATTATTCATTTATTTAATTTTTTTATTTTGACTGATGACTTCATTTGGATGTTTTGTTAAAGCTCTTTCAAGGGGCAAACCACACTATAGTTAAGTCGCTGAAAAGATGGAATGATCACGTGAATGGCACGCACTCTTAAATAGTCCTCTCTCTATGTTATCACTTTTCCCACGTTTACACCGCTCAACAAAAACGAACTAACACTCTCGCTATAATATATTTATACCGTTTTTTACAGGTTATTAAACGTAACACACAATTAATAAAAACGTTAATAAACCAAACTCACACAATAATTAATACAAATTAATATACGTACGCGTGAACTCTACACACAATTTTTAACACTGCCAACAAAATTCACCCGCCAGCGGAAGCAATAATGGCGGCGTAAACAGTTTCTCAGAAGATTTAGTTTTGACCGCCTGTCGATGCTTGCAGTAAGTGGTCATGCGACCTTGGATTCCATCTTTTAAGCGGCCAGGGTATAGTGTATTTATCTGGAATGCAGTGAGGTACCATTATCAAGGCAATTGGTAAAAGAAAAAAAATCGGAAGATTTTTTGAGAAGGATTTGAAATTTTTTTTTATATTATATTCAATGGAGAATGGACCAATTTAGACTATTAGTTTAAAAAAAGGAAGAAGAATAGGGATATGAAGTTGTTATTTGCCCTGTATGGGTTTTTTATTTGTTCTGTATGATGAGAGAGTGATATATCTGCCTCAAGTTATCGATGTCTGTTCTTTTATTTAGGGAAGCTTAATGTTTTAGAATTTGGCACATTTCAAGGATGGATCGCAAAGAAAACGACACGGATACCACATGGGTGCGCATAAAATCACGATACTATGCTATGCCGTATCGTGATAGATATGACCTACTTCGGACCATACTTCAAGGTAAAGTGCATGGGAAAAGAGTTCCAGGACGAAAAAGAATATCATGGCTGCATAACCTGCGAAAATGGGTTAACTTAACCACTACCGGATTTTTCAGGGCAGTAGTGAACAAAGTCAGAATAGCCATGTTAGTGTCCAACATCCGTAACGGATAGGCACCATAAGAAGATGAAGATGCTATGCCGATGATGCAGTACTAATTGCTGATAACGAAGATAACCTACAAAGGCAGCTCGACCCCTTCAATATCTCAGGAAACAAACTTAATATAAGAATATCAGTAAAAACTAAATGTAAAGTGATCAGTAAAGAGCCGCGTAGATGCAAATTAGAAATAGACGGCAAAATTGTACAATAAGTAATGAGACCACAAGGCAAGCATCAAAAGCGGCAAGAGTAAGTGGTTGCCCCCGAGAAACCATATGGAAAAACCAATATCTGACCACGGAAAGCAAAATGAAAGTATACAAGACAACAGTAAGACCAATCCTAACATATGCAGCGGAGACAAGGACCGATACTACAAAAAAGACGAAACAACAAATCAACAATATCGAAATGAAAGTATTAAGATCAATAGCGGGCATATCATTAAAAGACAGACAAACCAACAGAAGTATATGCGAACAATGCAAAATTCAAAATATTAACAGGTGGATAAAAACAAGAAAAAAAAAACTGGAACGAACATGTAAACCGAATGGGACCAGATGGGTTAGCGAACATCTTTAAAAACAACAAGCGGTATAGCAGAAGACCCATTGGAAGGCCGCCAAAAAGGGGGAAAGATAATGTACAGTCAACAACGACTGAAACAGAATAAGAGGCAGAGAAACAGGAGTAATCCTGGTCGCACGAAGAAGAAGAAGCACAGTATTTTGGTATTCGTGAAATAGATACGGTGTTTAGTTGAAATGGCATGTTGTGCAAGGGCACAAGCTGGTTTAGAAATCCTAATGTCGCTTTTGTGGGTCGTTAGTCGACCTTGAAGAGAACTGTTGGTCTGGCCAATGTAGCAGAAGTTGCAGTCTGCACAGGGTATATGATAGACTACATTAGTTTGTTCTAAAGGTTCTGGTGTTTTTTAAGGTTATTTTAACTTGCGGAGAGAAGTTAATACACTTTTCCTCGTTTTTTGCATATTGAATCTTCCCAGCTGCAGTATTCCTCTGGATATATTTAGAATATAGTTACTACAGTAATTTTTTTCAGGCAACTACCAAGTGCGAAAAAAGGATCGCTCAGCAATAGCAGCTCGGACTACGGACTAGACGAAGGATGCAATTCCTCGGACGAGGTTACGGACTCTGTCTTCGTTTCACAGGCCAACGAAATAAAGCAGAAACTTAACCAAACCGTGGTACGACCGACCTCCTTCACTAGTGCAACTCAACAGTACGTTCAGTCGCAGTATGTCGCACAACAAAAAAATCAAAATAATAGTCAGTACACCGTACAATATACTCAGGTAATTTTTTAATCTGCTTTTTTTTGTAGCTTATTTAGTGCTGCTATATTTTTTGTTTTTACGAACAGAATTTTGGATGGGCATAGATTCTGCTGTGTAGCAAAAGTAGTTGCGTAATTCTGTCATTTTTTATTCTTCTAATAAAAGATTTACTTTTTTCACCATTATAATATTTCTTTTTCTTCTATTGGTAATTGAAATATCGATAATATTCACTTAATTTACATGTTTTAAATGATCAATTGAATATCTTATTAAAACATCCTTTTAAAGTCAAGAAAGTCTACTTTTACAACACTGGGACCCTCATTTAACGTTCTTTCCTAATCTAATCTAATTCGGCGGTCTACATGACCAAGGTACTCCAGTTCACTTGGTCACTGTTCGTACTACTTCTTACGTTTTATAAATTTTTGTATATTTCTGAGTGAACTAAAGATTTTCTTCAATTTGTATAATTATTATTATTTTTATCTCTCCTAGTCTATAAAACATACTGCAAAGTGTGATGCAAATAAGGTAGGTTTCTGTTCTGAGAAAGTTTTCGGTGTGTCAATTTAGATATGTCTTTCTAATTCTTATCCCCCATCTGGAACTCAAATCAGCACAGTCCGACAGAACCGTCCAAACACTAGTTGACTGCCGAACGATCAGTAAGAATCATTCCATAGAGGTTCCAATTTCCATGGATTCACGATTCGTATCTGATACATTCAGTACTTGAAGGCGAATCCACAATGATCGAAAGCAGTCAACCCTTTTTCTGGAAAAACGACCTACTGGTGTAGCAAAACGTTAAGACGAACTATTTACAAAAATACAGGTTCCAAAACCTATTAGCGGTTGTACTGTCGGGGAAAGGAAACTGTTTCTTCTAAATTTCTAAAATGTTAATTTTTTGTTATCAAAAACTACTTTAAATTGTCTTTACCAATGCAGCTTTTGTCTCTACAATTTTAAATGAACTTAATTTAAATTCTGGATGAAAAATTGCAGTCAAAATGGCATGACCATCTTGACCATCATACACGATTAACACATACATTCTGACGTAGTTCTTATAACTAGAATTTACTGGTCATTTCCTTATAGATAAAGAGTTTTCATCCGTTGAGTTTAAAATAGCATTAGAACATTTTGCAACAATTATTTGACAAGCTCTAGTATGAGTTGGTTTTTGTACCTTTTACATAAGCTAGTTTCTCTTTTATTATTCGTATATAATAGTAGTATCCTTAGGCTTAATTATTTTTTGTTGGCATCAGTTTTACTTATTAATTTTAAGTATTTACACATCTATAATTTCGGAGATAAATAGAATGCGCCAAAACAAAGGACAATGAAATCAGGAAACTTGTGAAATATAATCGTGTCAGGAAACAAAGTAACATTAGTCATGGTCAGTTGTCTACACATCGTACATCGTTTATTAATATGTCAAACGGAATCGAAATGCAGTTTACAATGCAAGACAAATCTATTCTTGAATATTGTTTTTGTTTATAGGGGAATGGTCAGATATATAACAAATACACGTTGGCAAAAGAAGAGACACTTATTCATAATCCAAATTAATTTTTTAATTGCTGGTAAAAAAGAGGAGACCGGTTTCGGGGTTTATAATATCTACCCTATCATCAGACCCAATAGAAGAGACCGTACAGGATTTCAATACAAGAACACATGTGTTTTAAGAACGTTAAGAGAAAACATCAATCGCCCAAAACCGTTTTCCCTAGACATTGTTAAAATACATGTGTTCTTCTACTGATATCCTGTAATTGAGTTGATGATAGGGTAAAGTCGGGTCCATCAATATTTCATCCGTCGGCAAATTCAAACATAATATTTGTGTTATGAAATTCGAGTAACCGATGTCCAGGGACGTATAGCGATATTGGTTGTTTCACCGACAAAAATTTTTTGATACAAGTATTAAATCATAAAATAACAATCTGTAATGTGTATATTATAGTCAAAGAGCAGAAAATCTGATTTTGAAAAAACGAACAAAACGTTATATTTCTTTGTTTTTTAAATGGTTAAAAGTGAAACGCTAAACGCTAGTGTACAATCCTCTTACTTTCCATAATAGCCACCCGTTTATTAACGATCCGATCTTGTTTTTCTTTTTTTAACACTACTTTTCACGATGTCGCGCATGTTAGAATACGGAATTCTTGTTAGAAACGCCGCTTTTCTTATAATACTGCCTTTACAACTGTTTTCAGGATCATTTTTTCATCGTGGTTTTGATTTTTGGCATGTTTGGTACATGGTCAATATTGAAGATAATTCCTGAGATCCTCTACCACCATCTGTTTCGTCCTACACATACATAAAGCCGTTGTTTTTGTTGAAGGAATGAATTCCTAGGTTATAGACATATATATTTCTTTTGTAATATGCAATGGATGTACAATTTAGGGTATGGCAGTGCTTTTTGGAGGTCAAAAGTAGCAACATAGTATTGATCTGATACGTCATCACTGTCCGATTTTAGTACATTTCGAGCTTGTTTTCCTTTTGCTAGGTGAATATTTTTCTCAACAATAAGTGAATTTAGTGTCTCAGGTTCAGTTGCTGCAGCTATTTTTAAGGGCAGTTGATCACATTTGGCGTACGTATCTCTCGATGGTATTTTAAAATATTAATTAAACTTAGTTGTAAACACATGATAATTGTTTTTTTTTTCTGATATGTAAATCAGGATTAAGATTCTTTCTTTGTTCTGCTGTAATGGCTGTCGTCTGAGCACTAAGCACAATCTGACTAGTCAACTGGACTTGATCCACTCTGTCCCAATAATATGACACATTGTTCAAAGACATAGGAAACTAACGCCATCTGGTTATTATTCCGGTTACTTAGCACGTGGTTTGTTATAGCACCGAAAAGATTTCTATTTGTAGAACATAGATACTCCGCTATCTTAAATTTCGTAAAAAGTGGACATAATCCACTATGGTTCTGAACGCATCATATGACAGTTTGTAAATGTTTAGTTATCTGGTCTTATAGAAAAAATTATATATGAGTTAAAGGATAAGCGTTAGATGTAGTAGCGTGCTATCGTTGCAACGTGAAATTCCCTTAAATTTACTTTAGATACATGTGTGGTAATAACAGCATTCTTACGAACACCATAATAAAAAAAAATAAGGGACTTACTGAGAACTCTTGAAAATTGTAAAATACCCAAAACAAGTTCTGTAGAGCATAGTTATAGAAAAAAATGTAAGGGAGTGGACAGGCAAGAAACACTTCGCCTAAATTATCGCCAACATTCAGTAATGGGCAAGAAACCTTAAGAAAAAATTTGATAATCTTGTTAAACATTGAGTATTTTTTGAGAGAGAAATTTTTTCTCAAAAAATTTGAATTTTTGGTATTCAATTATTAATTTTTAATGAAGCTTAAGTTTTCATAGTCCTTTGTTTTGACGCGTACTTTATTTAGAATGTAAGCAAACACTTGTTTGTTATTGCAGGTACAAAAATCAAACCAATACTCAGTAAATCAAAGCACAAGTTCAAATCAGTCGAGCGTCGTGTACGCTAGTATACAAAAAGAAACGAATAAATTCCAACAACCGAGCCCGGATCCTTGGAGTGATAGTCTTAATAGGGTGAACAATACGATGGTGTGTCCACCGCCTACGCTTGCGGAACAATTAAAACAGGTAATGTTTGAGAGTCAAAATACAAAACAGGGTTAAAATGAAAATGCGATGTGAGTGGAAGATGGAACCACGAGTACATCGAATTTTTATTATAACCAAACAACATACTTCAGTATGTTCTCTACGGCCATGCAGTATTAATCAAAAACAATTAAATGAAATATACACTCAGGTGCAAAAAAAAACGATTCGGAGGAAATTTTGGTCAAATTCAAAGTATTTCAATTATTTTATTTTTAGCCCTATTTTGATGATTTTTTTAGCACACTGTGTATACATTTATAAATTTTAATTTGGTGTAGTCAGTTTTTTGATAAAATTTTATATTTGACTTATTGTACGGGGTTAATTAAAACGTGGTTTTATTTTGAACTTTGAAACATCCTGTGGAATAATTCCGTTTGCGAATTTTCGTAAAACCTTATTTTTCTGTTGCAGCCATGTCTCCTAAGCATTGTATTTTTTTTTGTTTTATGTCAAAATATGGATTGGTTCATTTTTTAGAGCCAACTGAATTTGCCCTCCATAATTTAGGACTTTTTTAACACTTTGACTGCCATGAGAAGCATGCCGTGATGCACGGCCAATTTGATTCTGTTGCCGCGAGAATCAGCTTTTGATTTTCGCTTGTATGTTATTTGTATGGGATAGAAATATGTCCGGTTGGAAGGACCCTCTTTTTTTCACTATGGCGGCAGTCTAAGTGTTAATTATGATTATTTTGGAGTTTAGAGATTTTCTAATATGACGAGGTGGCTTTGGTGGCTGTTATCATTATGTCATATTGACACTTACATATTGATCAAAGTTCTTAGTGTCGAAGGCTGTGAGAAAGCCGTTGCTCTGGTTGAAGATGGGCGAAATTATGAATATGTGGCTAGAGTACTACACACTCATCGCTTTACCATCCAAAGGGTAGTGGAACGTTTTATACGAACTGGAACAAACAAGCGCAAAGTGGGAAGTGGCATGAAGTGCAAAACTACCGCTTTAGATGATCGTTTTATACGAGTCAAAGCTTTGCGGGATCGTCATTTAACAGCTGCGCAAAAAAGAAATCAGCTTCGAGAGGTTCGAGGAAATAATGTAAACGTATTTACTGTTCGTCGAAGATTACATGAATTTGGTTTGCAAAGTTGCAGACCAGCAACTGGGCTCAAATTACTTCCACTTTGCGGTTCTTTGTAATGTTCTTTTTGCGGATGAGTCGTCGAGATACTGTCTTCACTCATCAGATGGGAGAGAACGAGTATGGCTTCGAACTAGAGAGAGATTTGCGGAGTGCGCTTTCAGACCCCCCGTTAGACATGGAAGGGGTTTGGTATTTATTGAGGGTTCGTTGACTTCTTGTTAGAGTGCCGTCTCTCTACGGAGTTTGGCAATCATAATGGCTATTTTTATTTTTGAACTTGCTGTTCTAAACAAATCAATCGATCTACATTGATACCAATCACGTAGATTCTTCAACCCTGAGTTCTGCCTTCGGCCAACAGATCTTCTTCTTTGAATCTTTCCCTGTATTATGAGTCAAAATTTCATATTTTGGTCCCCTCATAACGTGGCCTAGTTATTCCAGTTTTCTGGTTTGTATAGTGGTGATTAGTTCTCGTTTCTTTACCAACCCCCTCCAGTACTTCTTTATTTGTAATTCTTTCTGTCCATGATATTTTTAATACTCTGCGGTATAACCAGAGTTCGAAAGCCTCGATTCTTTTTAAATTGCATTTTTTAATGTCCTAGTCTCAGCTCCATATAATAGTATTGAAAATATATAGCAGCGAATAGTACGTAATTAAAAGTAGCTTAATTCGTATAAATACTGATCTGGCAATCTCTATTCGTCTGTTTATTTCAACAGTATGATCGCAGTATGCAGTATTCATTGACTGCACACCGATATATTGAGGAAATTTTAGCGAATCACGTCGATCCGTAGACGGAAGCTTATATCGTTTGGTGAGCTGGACTTGTAATCGAAACTAAGAAAGCTTACAGCGTGTTCAGCTAATTGCTATACCGTTCTAGTTCAGAACACTTACTGTCCAGGAAATAAAAACCTGCTTTACTGACAATTACTGAGTTAATTAAGATCTTGGACAGAGAATAACGCTTGATACATAAAAGGAAGATAGTTGCATACTATTAACCATGGACATATAAACATAGATGGACACAGCAATAAGATACCTTTAACACACAATGTTTTGAAGCTTCGATAGAATGTAATGCTTCCGCAATGAGCATAAGCGTGCTTGAATTTTTACTCGCAGGTAATTATTCAGATTTTAAAAATTGGAAGTAGTAATAATGTATAAAAACACGTTCAAAGAATTTTAAAAAACGAGAGTTTAATTATTAACAAATCACGTCTTTTTAGAAAAATTAAAATACAGTTTTATTTGCTTTAAAATTAATACAATAAAATATAGTTGAATTCAAGTTAATTTTTAATAGGTATCAAAATAATGCTACAATAAAAAATCTTTATGTTTTCTCCTAAATTTTCTACCAAAATAGTTCGATCGTCAATATTATTTGGAAACCTACATAGAAAAATAAATGAGTTTTATTCATTTCACTAATTTATTTGCATCCATGAGAAATATTAAATTAAATAGGTACTAAATAGATCTTTTTTAATCAGATTAATTGTCTAATAATTTCATGAACTTATATCTTATTTAATACATTAATGAACATGAATAAACCCAATGGTACGCCTATTAAAATGTAAACAAACACGCTTCCTCATTTCCTCATCTTAAATAATGTAAATTTTATGTACTTACAAATGAAATGAGAGATCGGGATGTAAATATTTCGTTTATTTTATTTCACTTTTCACAAATATCACCCAAAATACAGCCAAAATATCGAAAAACAACTTTTACTAAAAAGTAAACAAACATGGAACAGCATTTGAAGTTTGACGTAGATCCATAAGACAGAGAAATGTAAACAACTGTTGCCATTTATAAATAGTTTTCAGTGCTTCAACATATAAAATAATTGATTGATATCTAAATTATACGTTATTATTAAATGATAATGCACACTATGTGCACACTTTATATTTTGATTACAATTAAATATATTAATCTAACCAATAAATTATTATTTTGGTTTGATAGCACCTGTAGAGTATAAAATACGGAGTAATATTTTCAGCGACTCGCGAATAAGAAATTTTAAAACAAAACGTGACAACAGTTGAAGGTGCTGAGAATGTGACCTATTCAAATAATTTTGACTTCACAATTTTATGTAAATAACTGAGTCCATCTGTGTTTAAACGTCCATGCTATTAACCGTTAGAAAAGGTACTTATATTGTCCTACTTTTTTAGTATTATATTAGAAACTGTTAAGACTTCAAGAATTTTGGTTGGTGACCCCGTGTTTTATTTGTTACCGTCCTCCCCTGCTGGATCTTGGTTCTTGATCACCATGATCAGTAATTTGGTGATTTTTGTTTATACTCGGTCACCAGTGCCTCGTTTGTTTAAACAGGGTCTACGAAGACCATTCTGGATAGAGGGTGCACTATTACATCAACTGCCCTTGTTGTTGAATAATTTAGCAGAAATATAACAAATATATTTCTACGATAGACTTGCTTACTTTCCAGTTAGTGTCAAATCTCGGTGATTAAATAAAGTGTGACGAAAGCATTCACTGTTCTTGAAAGAGAACTCTATTGAATTTATAATACTACCATTTGGAATTTATTTGGAGTAATCAATAACAGTAATTTTTCTTACAGGTATTAGCAGAACGCGAAAAACGCTTAGGCACTGATAGTGTTAGTAGTTCCACAGACGATTTAAACGATAGTTCAAAAGAAGATCCAGCGCACCATCTTCTGGAGGAAATACGACAAGCCGTAAACGAAGCAAACTCAAAAGGTTAGTACATACGCATCTAGTTCAATAAAAACAAAAACAATTTTAATTCAATTGTTTGTTATAGTAAAGAAAGTTCTTCCAGTAACTCTGTCCCCGCCAGGTAGCACACCGTGGCAACCGCAAAACAATACATCACCAACACCTCCCTCACCGTCGAGTCTCTCCTCTGGTTCGGTATCTCCATCTAGATACGATTCTTCGTGGGTGAATACCGATCTAAGCCTTTCTTCGTGTAGTATAGCTAGTGATAAGAGGGCGACACACTATTGGCAATCGACGCCGATTCTAGATTGGTCCAAAGATCAGGTAAGTCCATAAAATTGAAAAATAATTGTTTAGTGCTAAATAACAAATTTGAGTTGAGCTACGAAGTTATAAATATTTTAAAAGCAATGAGAAATATTGATATTTTTCTTCATTATTGGAAGTTTAGCTTTCTTACCTCGGCTGTGGACTGAGCTATGGTACCTTTCGAAGCTATGAAAAAAATAAAACGTACTAAAACGATAAAATATAATAATCGCGCGACAATACACTCCTAGTAAACGCAGTCCCATGCGTGTTTCTTAAAACTAAAATAAATCGAATCGAATTGAATTAAACCATTACCGCATCGCGGGTCATATATGGCACAATACTTAGTTTTAAACCTAACCTTTAGAGATCTAAGCTTATTTTAACGTATTTATGCATGTGATGTCCATATTGGCGACGTGCAAGTACTTGGATGTGATACGAGAAACGATCGTGCGCGAGTAGCGGAGAAATCTTGCATTTTTTACTGCACATTTCATAGATTTCATAAATTCATATTGTCAATTATCATGTTTCATATTCGTTTGTTTATTTACACCTTCTGTCACTGAAGAAAATGGGATTTAGTAAATGCTGTGTTAGAAATTGTAAAAATACAACAAAAAATTGTCAATTTAAGTTTTATTCGTTTCCAACTTCGAATCACAAATTACTACAAAGAGAAAAGTGGATTTATATCATAAAAAAGCATAAGTAACATAACCTAAATTATGCATTATTCTTGCGCCCGATTTTAAAGTCAGTTTGAAGTAAATAATAAATAAAAGTTCACTTTTAAGTGTAAATTTTAGTTTCATAACACTCACTTAGGGCCGGTTCTACATTCCAGGTATAAATTGGAGAATAGTTATTCTGAGTATAACTTATACTTGAGTTTATTCCAAGTATAACCTTTCGAGCGTTCTACATTGTGAAATCGACAGCGGAATAGTTATTCTGGGTATAACCACAGAACACTAAGGTAAAACGAAATAGTAGATCTGATATCTTCAAAATTAGTTCAAATTGTTATTGACAGCGACATTTGGCATTTGTCATAACTGTAAAATTTGTTTACAATTGAAAGGAATTGAATAATCGATTCGCATTGTCTAGTATTTTATCTACGTTTATATTATTATACTTTACAAAATTAATATAAAATGGATAAAAAAAGATGTAAAATTTCCTTCTTAAATATTTTATTATCATCAACTGAGATTAGTGTTATAATATAATAACCAAAATTATGTAAATATATCTATATAGGTATTCCACATTTTAAACAAGTATAAATATTGGATTACAAAATATATAATTTTAGTTAAAGAAATGTTTATATAATACAGATTCTAGAATTACAGTCTCTGTTATCAAAACATTAAAAAATATATTGCCTTGGTAAGATAGTATATATATATATATATATATATATATATATATATATATATATATATATATATATAGTATAAGTACTATATTAGTCATATGTGTAGACATTATTACATTACATAAATATCCTAAAATTTTAGAATTGAAGTAATAAATGCTTTCTTTTTCCTTTGGATTGTCTAATAAAATTTTCTTTGGATTTACAATCTAAAATGTTTGTGCAATATCAAAAATTTTATTTTATATATAAAAACAAACAAAGTGAGGTTAAAATATTACAGATTTGACAACCCCTGACCGACCAATAGAAATGCAGTATAAATTTATACTGGGTATATCTGCTAAACTTTGTAGGGATAAAGTTATTCTACAGATATACTCCGATTATCTTATTCCTAGTTTATTCTTTGTTTGTAGAACACCATTAATGAAGTTATTCCAAGTATAACTTTATTCTCAGTATATACTAGCATTGTAGAACCGGCCCTTAGAGTTCACTTTAACCCAAAAATCAAGTTTAAATTTTATTTTTTTGAAGTTTACAAAAATGCATCAAGTTCAAGTTTTTCTGAAGATGAATTAAGATATATTCGCTGTCCAAAAGTTTACAGGGAAAAAATGATTTATTCAAACCAATATAATGATATCATGGGCTTAACCTGCTAATTTATACTTTTATGCATTAGCATTATTTATGGTAATTTATTTTTCTTAATTCTTCCAGATTTTTAACATGATTTGCCACTACTAACGCTTTTCCCTTTGACTCAGTGCTTGATTGAAGAGTTATTTGGTGATTTACTTTCTCAAATCCAGTTTTTATTATTGCATCCATATTAACAGTAATGCTGTAATTTAATAATATGTTTATTTGTATTTACACTACATACAACGTTTACCTTTTAATAACATACCGACATAACCTCAATCTTACTTTTTCTTCTTATTCTTTTTTGGGGCTACGTCCTTGACAGTTATCCGGTAACCTCGATATAACATGAAAGCGCAGTAAATTTTGCTCATTTACGACACCAGGTGTCGCTGTTCCGAACTTGCACGGTTCCAATAGAGCACATATTTCATATAACTGTTAATACAGCGCCATCTCAATGCAGCAAAGTTAACTTTTATAAAAATTTGCAAATAGCCGCGGTCTGACAGCTGTTCATAAGAATTGTGTGATTTGATATTCAGTTATCGAAGTTTCTACTGAATATTTTTGTACAAAAAAAAAGCGAGATCAAGGATAGACCTTCAAGAAAGAACTTCTGAAAGTATTTTCACGTATTTCATTATATTTTGGTATTTCTTCCCCTATTATATTAGCGCAGAGTCAGACTATGAAGATGATATTATAGATAATAATGAATCAGATATTATTATCCCAGAAACGGTTTTAGAAAGCAGTTCGAATAGCGAAGATGATATTTCTTTGGACGAATTACGACGTAATTTAATAAAAAATAAAAATAAAAATCATCCAACTTGGAAAGAAGGAAATTTGATAACATCAGATGATGATAGATTTCTCGGTTCTACTGACCTGCCACCTGAGTTGCAACAAGCGGATTCCCCTTTCGAATTTTTAAATTTTTTATAACAAATGAGATGATCAAAGATATAGTTTATCAAACTATATTATATTTAGTGGAAAATACCTCAAAATCCTTTGAAACCTTCTGAAAATGAGCTAGAACAGTTCTTAGGAACCTGTATTTATATGTCAATAGTGCAATTGCCAAACGCTAGAAGTTATTGGAAGTCCAGCCTGAATCATAGATTAATCTCAGATGTTATGCCATGCAATAGATGGGAAGAAATAAAACGTTTTTTACATTTTGCGAACAATAACGATGCTATTGCTGCCGGTAATCCTGGTTATGATAAACTTTTTAAAATCCGACTGCTACTAAATAAACTAAGGAATCAGTTACTCAAAGTTCCGAAACAGGAATTTTTAGCCATAGATTAGCAGATAATTCCAACAAAGGCACGTTCATTTATAAACAATATAATCCCCAAAAACCCCACAAATAGGGATATAAGGCCTTTGTTCTTAGTGGTGTCAGCGGATTTTCCTACGATTATGAAATTTTTGTAGAAAGCAAAAAACAGTACCAAGACATAAATCACAAAATATTCTTTGATAATTGGTTCAACAGGGTCCCATTGCAAATTTATCTAACGAAACAGGTTATGTTGTTGAAACTATAAAAAACAAAACTGTTGTTATAGTATCATGGTTATGTTACCACTAGGGACAGTTAGAATAAACAGAGTAAACAGTAATATGCCAAAAGAGGCTGAATTAAAAAAGAACGGCCGAGGAGCTATGGTAGAGAAAGTCGCCACAATAGATGCAAAAATATATGTTGTTACGTGGTATGACAACAAATTAGTAAACATTTCATCAATATATGGTGGGAGTATACCAACAGTTGAAGTTAAACGGTTTTCGAAAAAGGATAAGACACATATAATGGTTCCATGTCCAAAAGTTGTAACGATCTACAACAAGTATATAGGGTGAGTAGTACTCCTGGGAGTAGAAAAATGGTACATGCGTATATTTTTCCATATTATTGATTTCATGACTGTCAATGAGTGGATTCTGTGAGTCACAATGAGCATAATAATTTAGCTCTGACAGATTTCAAAATGGCAGTAGCAGAGTGATTATGCAAAGTCAATATAGCTGGTTTTACTAAAAAAAGAGGTCGTCCGTGTGGAGCTATGGAAAATTTACAAAACAAGAAAAGAAGGGATCCAGCAACCGATATTCCAATGCAAGATGGGTATGGTAACCTTCCATTATGGTGTAGTGAAAGGCAAAGATGCAAATATCCCTGTGGTTCAAAAAGCTTCATAAAATGTGAGAAGTGTAATATTTTTCTTTGTTTCAACAAAGATAGAAATTTTTTTTACAACTTTCACACTGAATAATTATTATAATTAGAAAGTAATAAACGTCATTTTTTTATTAATTTTACTTGTTGAATCTTGTTTTAATGAATAGTTTGCCATATATGACACAAAAAAAATACAAGAAACTAAACAAGTAGGATTTTTTTTATATTTATACCGTAATCTTGAAGTCAAATTTGTAATCATAGATTTGTTTTATAAAAAATAAAAAAATCATGTAGTAAGGGGTTATATTAAAAACCATCGCTTCATGCGTAAACGATAAGAAAGCTATGCGGAGTGCCACATCCGCATCCACATCCAAAAACAGCAATTAGCTAACAACACTACTCAACAAAACTACTAACAGAGTAGAAATATAATAACTAAATCTGTATGTTGGTGGCTCAAGTCGCTGTTCAACTCAACTTTGTCGTTCAGTACAAAAAGAAAGCCGTTGGTCAGTTTTTTTCGGGTTTGACTCCGCGTCAAATAGTTTTGGTTTTTTTTTGAAAAATCATTGTTTTGGCTACGTTTCGGCAAGGTAACACTTGCCACTGTCAAGTGAAGTTAGTTCTGCTTCTTCTTGATGTTCTAGGAGAACTGAATTCTCGGTCGCTGCACGCTCTGTTTAAATTAAATACCTTTTAGCGCTTCTTGTGATTGGTTTCCACGTATTTGGGTATTTGGGAGTCTTTGGACACCATCTCTGGTATTTGAATTTTTTGATGTTTTTCGATCTCTATGGCTTTCCTGATTACACGTTTGGCCTTATTTTCGATGTTGGTTAAACAGAGCGTACAGCGACCGAGAAATCAGTAGTTGTCCTTTGACATCGAGAAGGAGCAGAACTAATCTGACTTGATAATGGCAAGTGTGACCTTGCCGAAACGTTGCCAAAACAATGGTAAGTGTGACGCGAAGTTAACGCGTAGTCAAACCCGGAAAACAACTGAAACCACATATAGCTCCCGCGCAAATTTCAAATCCAAACATGATCAATTTCTAAATTTTAGGTCTGCAACTGGTTGATAGCTGTGGGAATGGAGCAACACGTCTCCAAATTTGCTGAATTGCAAGTCAATGGTAGTGCGTTGTTGTTGCTAACGTCAGCAGACTTCAAAATTTTAGGAATCACTAGCGACGACAAAAGTAGATTGAAACGAAAAATAAAAGAGCTCAAGATGCAGGCTGAGAAAGAGAGGAAACAGATGGAACGAGACAGGAAAGAAAAGGAAAAATTGCAAAAGAAAGCGGATAAAGCCAATAAGAAGAAATAATTTGATATTTTTCGGTCTGTGAGATTGTAAGTGATTGATGTTTAAATGTCAGTCATGCCATATATCTATCGTGGTTTACAGGTTGACGAGAAATTACCTGTTTGATACTATTGTATCAAAGAGATTTTTTTAAATTTAATATTGTAGAATTCTTTTAAACAAATCTTTTGAATAGAGATGACAGATTTCTCTTATAACAGTTTTATAAACTTAGTAGGTGGAAAAATTTAGTAAGTAATGACTCTTCCAATGATTTTCTGTTATTGATTTCACAGTTCTTCTACCTTATTTATTAATTTATTATTTATGAGGATTCCATACTTTATGTAGTAGGCTGTGTATAAATTTGGTCTATATAATCTCAATACATTTGTCCTTAACGTGAATACACTTTGTCAATGGGTTATCAATATTCAGCTGTTGATGTCAATTTCCATCGCTCTGTCGTAATAAGAATGGTATATTTTTACTACTATCGATAAGAATAGTTGCAGACGATCAGCGAAAGTAATGCCCGGATTTGGAAGTTTTCATAAACACCAAGGGATCTTCCCATATTACCCAAGTTTTTTTTTATTCTTTGCTTTGGATGGTTCATTTTCCTATAAATTTTTGTATTGTGATTTTTTCATAATTTCGGTTTTTGTATTTGGGATTTAATCTAAAACTAATAATCTCAAATATGTAAATACGTAAGTTATATTCATAACTACCAAAACCTAAAAAAATGTTTAAATTTTCAATTTTAGTTAACATGTGTAATATTACTTTGCCATCAGCATTGTCCAGAGATTCTTTGATACGTTCAATAATTCTCTTTGTCAATAAGCATTTGATGTGCTGCACACATCTGGACGTCGCGAAGAGTACAGCTTTCTGCATGGCCTTCTAGAGATGTTCATTTAGACCCAATTGTTTTATGTTCTCTAGGAGGTTTTTGGAAATAACACCAGTAGTTGATAGAATAATAGGTAATGTCTGGGTACTTTTAGATTTTCCATTGTCTCCTAATTTGTATTTCTAGATCTCTACACTTTTGGTGATCTTTTTGTTATATTTAACACGCAAATTATTGGTGTTAGGTATCGCCACATTAATAAGTGTTAATTACGTATTAATAATTCGGAAAATGGTCAGTTTGGAGAAGTCCCAATTTGTCAGCTAGTTCTTGGTGGATAATTTTTCCTACTGAGTCATGGCGTTCTTTATACTCAGTTCCGAGAAAGGTTTTGGCAGTCCCCGGTAAGATGTTGGATGGTTTCTTTGGAATAACCTGATCCTGAATGGCAACTGAAAGACCCCCGGCCTCGGGAAATATCGTTACTGATGTCAACCAATAGTTCGACGCTGTATTGTGACAGTTGACATATTCTTGGCTGATCTCATTGAGATGTCGCCCTTGCAGAGATTTACTCATCCAGGTGCGCATTTTTATTGCTTAGTCAGGTGGTGTATGGGTATTTCTTGTTCCCTCAGTTTAAGCGGCGTTGTATAATATGCAAATTGTTCGATGTAAGGTAGATGTCTCAGCCTGCTCCTGAAAATAAGTTCTTAAATTAGCAAGCTGTTTATCCAGTTGCTCACCTATGTCCTCTTCCCCCTCGATATCGCGGTAATGTTCTCTCTACTGCACTGTGTGGATTGTGCTTTTTCGCCTTTGTGAGAAGTGTTCTTACTTTGCGCCGAAGACTCTCTATATCCGTTTTTACCACATTATATTACCAAATGATTAGCTCGGCGGGGAACAGGCGTACGTATTTAATGCCTTAAACAAATATTTACTGTTTTTATGGCCAATTTGCCTCGATGTTTCGGCCATCTTGCCTATCGAAACCTCCAGACTCCCTATTATTATTCACATTATTATTAAGGTTAGCACTTGTCCTTAACATGGAATATAACAAAATGAAAAGGTTTAAAGTTCTTTTAGTGATACAGCCAAACAACATTTTTTGATTTCTAGTTTGTTTTTTGTTCCTGTCCATAACATTGGAGGGTATTTTCCTCATCGGTTTCCCCGAAAAGTAAGTTACTTTTTTATTCTTTTCTGGAAGTTGTCTGGTGTGATGAAAGTTCGCCTAAAAGACTCTGAGCCAAGGTCTATTCGAAGCAGAGACAAAGTCAGCGACCGGGACCTCTACTCGTTCCCATCACAGTTTTATTTGTAGACTCGCAGCCATCATCCCTGGGCTATCTCTTTTTTTGTGCCAATTTTATTTCCACAAGTCGGGACGACATGCTGTGCTTACCCTTACCAAGACCCTCCTCCAGCATTCGCCAGCCCCTGTTACATCGCTTAGGTTACACTTTTCCTCCTGTACGATGCATCTCACAGACACGATGGTGTTACAACTCGGGTCTGGGGAGTGCAGTTGTCACAGCACAAATCCCCTCGTATGATGAGTGTAGATATGCTTGTGTAATTTGTGTTTGGGTGTGTATATGGGTGTACACATATGTTCATGTGGGAGTGTGTCATGTTCACTCAATAAATCAACGATTAATGACATGCTGCAGTCCCTATGTAATGTTCTCAATTGATCCACCGGTGTTTATTTGATTATATATTGTTCACACCTGTCGTATAGTCCAATATACCCAAATAACGTTCTTTATTAGCCACTGAGACGCGCCGTGTTGAGAATGAGAGCTTCCAGTCTGTCCTGGCTGGTGTATTGGTGATCTGTGTACCTGATTTCTTCCAACGTACTCATGGTATACTCAGTAGTTATAGAATATATTAATGATATATTTCAGTACTTATTTTAGAAGTTTTGAGGTAGATTTTAACAAACTGTTAAACAAGTTAAACTGTCAAACCATTTTTATATGAGATCCTTATTGTAGTATCCAATTATTGCGTAAATCGATCTATTGTTCTTTTGATTTTTTTATGGTTAATAAACAAAATTTTTTAAATAAACGGTTCTAAGTATGTATATGGCAACAATTCTCGTCACCTGGCTACGATTTTCGCGGAGTGGTCATTGTTGAGAGTGCCAGAGTATATAAGATTATATTGTTCCTTGATCTTGTCAAATATACCTAAGTCAAAACAAAAATGTATGGATTTGTTTTAGAAATTGTATTGTGTACTATACAATGTGCTCGTTCTAGCATAGTTAGTATATTATAAAGAAAATGTAAATATATTTGAAACAAAAGTGTGTATGTTTTAGAAGCATTTAAAAATTATGTACTTGTTTATATAAGTATGGATATTCCTGTTTACAATTTTTTAAGTTCCTTTTATTCGGAAAACATATACATTGATGAATGTATCAGACTTTGTTAGCTGCGTGGAATTGGTATTCAGCTATCGATAGCTAAATTGACTATTTAGCTGAACGTTTCGGTTATTTCTCGAGGTTTTTTATTACGGAACATAGTATACATTTATTTTAACGTCGAATGAGCATCAATTATGATTAGGGCAGCTTTTCTTCGAGAAATAAATAATAAACGATGTTTCTCATTAGTGAGATTTTTCATTAAAGTCTTGGTGTTACTTGTATGTATAACTTTCGTATGATATTTAGATCCCATTTTCTTAACGTCACGTTTCACGTTTAATGTCAAGTTTTATGTCAAACGTGACATTTGACATCGAACTCTCAGTTCGATGTCACTAGAAGTGGCTACCTTTCTATTGCCATCTGTCATTGATGGCAGAAAATAAAGACCTCCATGTTTCTATTATCGATTTAAACAACTTAAATACCAATTCCATGCATGTGATTTTTTTATTTTAAGATAGTGTAAGGTTAATTTATTTATTGTTTTTTTAATATTTTATCAACATGCAATTTTAATATACTAACGTTGTGATAATCAATTTTATATTTTGAAATTTACATTAAGTATTATTATCTATTCTTCTTTTACTTTGTGTATACGGTTCCAGAATAAGATATTTTTCATACTGTGTAATCCATTTAGATTGGAAACAACCTTGTAGAGTTTGATGTCGTCAACCGATTTCAACGATTTTTTTAGTGTCATTGATAAAATATGTACTTCAGGACAAAATTTAAAAAGGTTATTTCAATTTTCAGGTGATACCACCGTAGTTTTTCGTAAATTAAAATAGAGAAAATTTATTATTCACTTTGGTTTAAAAAAATTGTTACACCAGCAGATTTGAACGTTCTTTAAATAGCTATGACGTAATTTTGTAAAAAAAATATACATAATGAAGGTAGAACAACTTACAGAGTACATCTCCTTCGTAGTCATAAATAAGAAATTTTTATTTTACATATTTCTGCGCCACTGGCTTTAGAGTACCTCCAGTTAGCTGTGTAAAATGTCAGAAAAATAAGTTTATTGATAAGTTAGAACAATTTAAAATTCGGAAACAGATATTAGCACTTTAAGTAGAAATTTTCTTACTTACTTTACTTTATCGTGTCCGGACATGTCATTCATAAAATTTCGGCCCCGTATCGGGCTACGTCGGTTCCATCTTTGTTGGCGAGCCACAAATCTTCAAGGGTAAATCGATGAGGACAGTTTCTGCATGTAAGAAGATGTTCCATATTCTGTGTTTCTCCACAGTCACAGTTCACATCATCTTGGTCTATTTTTCCCCATTTTGCCATGTTTGATTTTACTGTAGCAACTCCCGTTCTTATCCTATTCAAGGTTTTCCACGTTTTAAAGTCTAGGGTCTGGCCGGTCCATTGAACCTGGGGAAGTGGAAAATACTCAGGCGGTTCATTATGCACTGTTCCAAGGAAGCTTTTCCTAGATTTTAGTCGCTTTCGTGGTGTTCGAGCTTTGTATAGGGCATGCCGATCGTCCGCGATCTGTTTAATTTTCTCTATGTGTTCTGCAGCGCCCCTGCGTGTTGAGGGTTCTGCAAAACCCGCTGCTCTATATAGATTTGAAAGTGGCGTTGGTTTCATGCACCCGGTTACTATCCTGCATGTCTCCTTTAGCGCAGTATCAACTTGTTTGGTGTGGGCAGATCTGCTCGAGGCACGCATATTCAGCAGTTGAGAAACACAGTGCCTGTGCCGTTGTTCTTAAAACGCCAGGACGTGCGCCCCATTTACTTCCCGTTAGCTTATTGAGTATGCTGTTCCTAGTTGTTACTTTCCCTCTTGTTTTTATGCAATGTTGTCTGTAGGTGAGGGACCGGTCCAGAGTTACTCCAAGATATATAGGTTGGTTTGTGTGTTCTAATGCATTACCATTCCACACAATTTGGAGTTTTCACTTGGCTTCCTTTGTGCGAAGGTGGAAAGCACAGATTTGGGTTTTAGAGGGACTGGGTCTCAGAGAATGCTGCAGGTAGTACGCTGTCATTGTTTTTAAGGCAGTTTCGAGTTTCTCCTCCACTTCTTCAAAACTATTTCCTTGAGCACATATTGCAAGATCGTCAGCATAGAGGAAGTGCTTGGTTTCGGTCGGAGTAGGTTGTACGTTGTGTATATATTGAAGAGCATTGGTGCTAAAACACTTCCCTGTGGGAGGCCGTTTTTTTGAACTCTCCACACTTACTTTACCCTCCAGCTTAACGAAAAAACGTCTATTCTGCTATTTTTTTATTAAAAAAAAAATTTTCTAAAAAATGAGAAAGCAACTAATGAAGTGAGAATCTATCTAAAAACCACCTAGTGCGGGATACTAAGTCAACAAATTTGTTTCTCCTATTTTTTGTCTATTTTTTTTTTGATAACGTGCCCACAGAACATCTTATTATTTTGAAAAAAAAGTTTTTGTGGGGTTCATCCCTTAATGTATGGGATGCTATTCACGATCATCCGATTATTAAAAGACTGAATTTATTTGAGATGTCGTAAGAGCAGTGACAGGATAACAGTGGTTTAGATTGGCGCATAATAGAGAAAGATGGAAGCAATTGAGAGATACCTACATTCAGGAGTGGATGGAAAATGTTTGAAGAATTGATGTGTTGATTTAGACAATGTGGTAATGGTCAACTTCAACCCGATGAATAGACCGTATTAATTGATTGATATATCGGGCCCAAAACTCGCAATGTCAGAATATTTTATACAGACTTATCACACAAAAGTTTTACAGACCTAACAGACAGAAGCGAACTTTATGTAAGAACTAAAGAGAAAGACATTGAATTGGAAAAATATGTATGCACTACTACAAAAATGTATTTATGTGGCAGGTCAACAGAGGCCAAAATATTCTAATAATTATTTGTTAGTTAAGTTTATTTCATTAAATATTATGTTAACACAGGTTGTTTATTTGTGACAGCAAAATTTTAAATTGTTCTAACTCTGATTGACTACTAAAAGTATTGTGCGCTCTCAAAGTTTTAATAAACTATTTAAATTTTATCCCGAAGAACATCTTTTGTTTTTTGACAATTGAAAAATGGTTGAAATTAATTAATAACTTTTATACGGTTTCCAATCCAAATGAATCACACTATGTACCCAAACGGTGTCATATTAGATAGTAGTTTATTTGCACGTTGTAGTTTTTTCAGATCACTTTTATTTTTATATAGTGTTTCTCATACATATATACATATTTCAGTATTATGTAAGATTGTTAGAGATAATATTTGAAATAATCAATAAACGATCTCAATGCTTTCTTATTGTGGAACGGTAATTTTAAAAATATTTTGAATCGAAAGTATGTGATCATTTGTAAAATATAAAATGTGTTGATGTATTCGATCTTGTTGACTATTGTTTTCTTATATTTGGTTTATTATTCTGTTATGTTTCATTTCATTTTTCAAATTCACAATAAATTCTTAGCTTTCGACTTTTTACCAATGATAATGCATTTTTCTTATCCTGATACCCTGCCAACTCCTGAACAAAATTAACTCACCACTTTAATTAATCTTAATATTTACAATATGAGCACAAAATAAAACTAAGTTACATTGAAATAGTAATAAAAACCTACAAATAAGTCCAACATGACTTTATCATGACCTTAATTTGCCTTATTGTTTCTTTAAAAATTTATTTTTGCTGGATGTAAATAAGCTAGCATAACTCCAAATTGCAAAAAGAAAAAAATCAGTAAAGTAACACGATAAAATGCATCTGGGTTAACACTAATACCGTGTAGGCCCTCCTCTACTTCTTATGACTGCATTTATGCGTCGAAGCATGCTTTATATCAAATGTTCAACGGAAGTTTGCGGAATATTCTCCCATTCTTCAATAACGGCCTTAATGAGTTGGTTGTGATTGACAATAGTAGGTCTACCTCTTTTTTTAGATAGTTCCATAGATGCTCTATAGGATTCATGTCCGGACTTTTAGGTGGCCACTCTAATAATGGAATATCAATATCATTTAGATAGCCAATAACCTGTCGAGCCACATGAGGACGAGCGTTGTCTTGCATGAATAAAAAATTAGATCCAAGAAACTGTGCAAAAGACATTACATGTTCAACAATAATGTTGTCTAAGTAATAATGGGCATTCATAGATCTCGTACGTATGGCTCCGTACGAGCTTCAAAACAAATTCCTTCCCAAAACATTTTAGAGCAATCACCAAAAGGTACTTTAGGGGAGATATTGCAGCTGGCAAACCTTTCTCCTCGCCTTTGCCAGAGACGCTCACGACCATCTGGAGCTTTTAGTCTTATTCTAGTCTCAACGGAGAAAAGAACTCGTTTCCAATCATTGATGGTTCTTTGATGCAATCTTGCAAAATTGAATCTCTGAACCCTGTGTTCTGTGGTATGCAAGGATTTTTTGGGCGGTTTCCTGTTAGTCAATTATGCTTCATGTAAATATCTAACTGTTCGAGAAGATATCGCGACATTTTCAACATCTTCTAGTTCATTTTTTAACAAATTACTGGTGACTCTCCTATCTCCGAGAGCTCGTTGTCTCAAAAAATTATTATGAGTTTGATTAAGGCAAACTTGCAACGTATCGCATTGAACATCCTTTATCTAGGAGAGTCGATGCTCGCACTGCCTCATCCATTGACAAATTTCTTTGGCGGTTCATTTTTTTTTATTTGATTTGTATGCAGATGAACTTCCAAACATGCATGTGATGAAAAATATCACAATAAAAAGCTTGTTTTTCACAAGCACTTTCCTTCAATCGGCAACTTTTATGAAAAGTTTAACTAACTTTTAGTCTAAAACGAAGTTTAATACAAATTATTGTTAAAACAAGACTATTATTAGCTTACATAACAACTGTTGACTGTCAAACAAAGTCCATAGGCAACTTGTACAGTAAATTATCAATAAAGATTATTGAAAAAAATATGAGTGGTGCGTTAAGTAGTTTACAATCCGGAAAACCTGTAGTAGGTTCGAAAATTGCGTTTCCATAGAATACAAGAACTCTCTGGTATTAATGTTTATACAAAAAATTATAGTAATGCGATACACGTAATATAGTTAAGACAGTGTGACACACTATTATAGAACGTGCTTTTAAAGCCCTTAATTGGGATCATAAAATAATAGGTGTCGAGGGGAAAGACCGCCTGAGTTACACTGATGACATAGTGTTAAAAGGAGATGACCTATCGAAAATCAACGCCACTATGTTGGAAGAACTGGTAAAAGTCTACAGAGAAATCGGTTTATAAACAAAAAATATCCACAAAACAAAATACATGAAAACCTTGTACAGGTAATGACCTATGGTGTGGAGACACTGTCCCCAACAAAAAATAATACCTCAAAACTAAGAAAAAAGCACAAAAATGGATGGAACCTCCAGTAGGAGTAACAACAAAAGACGTCAGAAACGAAGACCTACGAAACAGAACCAGAGTTACAGATGTGGTGGATTGAAATGAAGATGGGCTGGCTACGTGATTGTTGAAAGATGGAAGGTGGACACAAAACCAAATTGAGACCAAGAACAGATAAACAAAACATGGGAAAATCACAGGGTTGACAGGTCTAAACCAACATGCTTGAAACCTTGGTTTAAACCAACTGGTTTTTTATTGATTTTTTCTCTCTATGTTGTTAATGTTATTCTAATAAAAACTACAGCTCAATAAACTACAAAAAAAATTTGATATTTAAATTAATTTTTATTTTAAATTATTCTAATATGTAATTATAACAACTGTAATTTTACACTAGTAATATTTATATTTTTTCTTATCTAACAAAAATAAAATAATTCAAGATCGGTCTTGATGGAGTTCCCTTTTGGGCGTCTCTATTTATTTATTATTCAACAATGTGGTCCTCCTGTTGCATTGGTCGCTGTGAGCGCTGATCAGGCGACTTCCCAAGTTGATCTTCTGTGATTCCAGTGCAATAGTTTTGACATTTATTACTTATTTTACAAATTAAATGCTTGTGTTCTTCTTCTTTGTGTACCGTGCCCAAGTTTTAGGCATGTAGGCAGGTAGCTTCCATGACGATTTGACGATATTGTTCTCGATCTTGCGCGGCATGTAATAATTCATCTGCTGATAAGCCAGCCCATTGACGAAGGTTGCGCGGCATGTAATAATTCATCTCCTGATAAGCCAGTCCATTGACGAAGGTTCAGTATCAACTGCATTATCCTGTATATGCTTCCTCTCATATGCCCCAGATATTCGAGTTTTCTCTTTTTTATCATCTTTATTAAGTCGCCTTTACCTTGACCTACTCTGTTTGAAATGTGTTGCACCCATGATATTCTGAGCATTCTCGATACTACGATAATGCTTATGTACTGATTATTAAATTGGAAAAAGAGAAGATGTCAAGTTAAGTAGACGAAGATGAGTTTTAGTATGGAATTTCTTTGAAAGTATTAAAATTAGCGACAGAAAAGGTGAAAGAGCAAAGTGTAAACAATGTAGGATAACTAGAGGTCAGGTATCAAGAATGAAGAATCACTTAACCAAATGTTCTTCTGGAAAGAATGATAATGATGATGACATTGAAGGTAAGAAAAAAATGCTTAAATTGCACTGTATCTTCATGCTCTCTTCTTATACAATTTAAATTAACATGGCAAATTATTAACAATAAAAATTTTATACATTTTTGTACACGAATAATTGTATTTTCTCGCTGTCATATTGGCCTATTTCTTTACTTAGTGTACACATTTTGCACAATCTCAGAGTTATTTAAAATTTGACCTCTGATATGACACTATAAGGAGTGTATTCTGTAACATTTCCGTTAAATTTAAGAGGCCTCTAAAATTTAACTTTTAGCGATCTTCTTAAAGTTTTAGGTAAAATTGACATTCTATAAAGAAATATTATAGAGGACCGTTAAAATATATTTTTTTAGAGAAATCCTCTAAAAGATTTTCAATCAGATACGGCAACGTCGCATGTTGATCGTGTTTATACTACTTGTAAGGTAGAAATTGACCAAAAACGGATTGTCGGAGGCCAAAAACTTAAGAAAAAAATAAGAAATGGATAGTCTGCTTGACTTTTTATTTTATCATTATTGAAAATATATTTCAGTTTATTTGTGTTCGCGTTAGTATTTTCGTTTTAATAAAATTTTAATGTCTCGTGCTCCACGAACAACAAAATCTCAAAAAGAGTTTTTAATAAGTTTTTTAGAAGAAAATTCCAACAGGAATTAAAATTAATCCTAAATGAATTGGGAAAAGTCCATATGTTATGGGAAAAGATTGGGATTATATCTCGGATTATCTTTTGATGTAATCTGAATTCAGCTCTACAAAAAGAATAAAAAATTTGAATTCTTTTATAGGTGTAACACACGGATTATAAAGTAAACGAGTTACCTTTCATTATTATTTCATCAACTAAAGCTTCACCAAATATATTATAAAAAGCCATTTGTCTTTTTTAGTTGTTTATCTACACTATAATATATCAATAACAAACTAATAATCATATAAACCTAACCAAACAAAAATAATCAAATGATATTTAACGGGCTGCTAAAAATAAGAGGACAAGTTTTAGGCCTCTAAAATTTAACGGAAGTGTTACACAATACACCCCTAAGACAGTTTGATATTCCTGCATTTTTAAAATCTAAGGGAGAGCGCCCACCAAACTGGCATGGCAAGTAGCGCGCGTCTAGCATGTTACTTAAAATGTAACCAATAAAAACGAATGATTCAGCGCACACGAAAATGACAGTGACGTCATTCATTCTAATTCGTTTGCATTGGTTACATTTTAAGTTATAGACGCGCGCTACTTGAGACTTGCTATGCCAGTTTGGTGGGCGCTTTCCCTAAGATGGCAGAGGCAGAAGCACGACAAAAAGAAATCAAACCCAGATTTTGTATTTTAATACCATATAAATTTATAGTTGAATATTGATTTTTTCTTTTATCCCTCCCCTTCTGTGTATTTGCGAATATAGTACAGAATTTTTTTTTAAGTGTAAGGAACTAGGAGTAATTTTTCACGTCTTATTTTTTATTTCTTTTAAGCCCTATTAAGAACTTGTATGTTTCGTAAAAAAATATTTTTTGTCTTCAGATATTTAGGAAACTGACCCAGTATATTGCTTTTCTTTATTAGCAATATACTGTGACTGTGACTAGACTTCTGCTTCTAGACATTTTTCACCTTTAGTTCACAAATTCCCTACCAGAGTACCTATTGTGATACACCAGAACCACAGAATAATAAACAATCAGAAGGGCCACTCTCAGATGCCGCCTTTGAAGTTTTTCAGCACGCGCGCCATGTTTTAGGAGGACACAGACATATGATTTGTGTGGTTATGTAATTGTTTATATTTATGTTTAATTATATTATATTTATGTTATTATATTTAACAATGTTAATATAATTGTATAGTATGTCTATGATTGCCGTAAGTCAAAAAAACCTGGTTAATTTTTCCATGCACACCACATAAACAACACTAATTTCTTTAAAATCCTCCTAAAACATGGCGGAACGTCTGCGCGGAGGAGATGCGCGTACTTAATTTTCCGTGGAGAGTGGGTATTCTGTTTGTTTATCATTCTGTGCCAGAACTATTGCGGTGTTACCAGAATACAACTTTAGTCAGGTGCATTACAAAAATAAAGTAATTACATATTGAACAACAATATAAACCATTTTTCGCCAATCTATTTGAATTTGAGTGAAATAGTGGTTAGGTTAGCGTAGTTTTCTAATTGAGTAAAAGTAGAGGAAACTTGGGAAGGCATTGAAATAAAAAACGCAGCAACTTAAAATACCAATTTAATTAAATTAATATAGCATACAACACAGTTGTAGTAAATTAAAGTAATTGATAGTACAATAACTTCCAAATTAAAAATTAACGATATTTCATTCATTCGTATCGTTATGTCAATTTAATTCAACAAATTGTCATGTCAAATCTTCAAAAATCATTTGATAAAAAAATACAAAATTCTACAGTAGTATGACAGACAAGCAATGAGAATTTTGTGATACGGTATAGACAAGTCTTATCTCTCCTTTAGGATCTGTCAAAATTGTAGAAATGGGAATGAGATCTTTAATAATTGATGCATAAATTGTCGGGTATACAAAGTGTACCAATGAAGAGCGATCGTGCGCTAAGACTGTCATCAAAAAAGTTGGGGCACTCTGTATGTTGTGTAGCAATATTGAAAAATCCAAAGGACGAGAATTAATGATTCACTTCCCAGATAAAAATGATTCTACGTAGATATTTGCGCCCTTATAAAATTAGAGCGTCAAGTATAAAAAAGTTGAAATTTTACAATAGGCACCATTATTAACCGGGAAATGTAATAGATCGAGTGATAGTATTGCCACTCGTGACTGCTAAAATGTGGAATGAATATAATGTACTACTAACTGGACATATAGTGGATACATTGAGACTGCACTAACATGAATAAATCTTGATAGGCTGAAAGAGTGATGAACTCGGTGTCTTCATAAAATCTTTCCTGCCCGTCAATTTTTTTAGACATACATTTGCTTACAATAAAAAACCTAGCTAAAATTATTTTATACAAACAATTGTCTTAACTGTTAATGAATATATCTTGCGAATAAGTGTCCTATATATTTTATAAAAAAAGCTACAATAACTGTCACTGACAAGAGTATTTTAAATATATTTCAATTAAAAGTGAATGAATCTTATAAACTAAGATTTGTTGCACATAGTTTATAATCGTATATATTAAATGAAAATGAATTTATAAGACGAAAGACAACAAAAGAGAAATTAATGAGCCTCGGCAGTGGGGCGTGTGAGACAACCACCTTCCTATTTCCCTTCCTTCTCCTTATTCTCTTCTGACTTCTCTTTAGCCTTATCCTTTTCTTTTTCGTCAGCCTAAAATAAAAAAAAAACAAATTAAAATAACGATAACAAGATTAAACTAGTCACATTAAAAGTTAACATAATCAGGTATCAAATAAATTGGCAGTGATGAAAAAACAAGTTTAGTGCGCGTGTTGCCCGGTAGGTGAAACAAATAAGGAGGCAAAAAATGTAAACAATGTTTGGTTCACTTGTTTCTCGTGATGTTTACATGGGATTTTGTCCTTTTTGGTCCATCTGCCATCCGTTAATATGGCAACATGTCCTGCCCAAGCCCATTTAGCCCTGGCTATTTCTTCAACTGCATTTGTGACTCCTGTTCTTCTTCTTATTTCTAGGTTTGGTACTTCATCTCTGATGGTAATACCTAATATTGATCTTTCCATAGCGCGTTGTATAACTCTTATTTTATCTATTGTTCTTTTTGTCAGAGTCAGTGTTTCTGCACTATAATGTAAAAACGGTAAAACGCACTGGTTAAAAACCTTTCTTTTTAAACAAACTGGGATACTAGACTTGAAAATGTTATTCAATCCATCAAAGGCAGCCCATGTGAGACCTATCCTTCTTTGTCTCAATTTTTAATAGGCCCGGCCAAAAACTATTCGATAACATTATTTAAAACACGGTTTTATCGGCTAAAAATAAAGTAAGCCTCGTCCATTCTTCTTAAAGTGCATCTCCGCGATGAAGGTTGGGTTGGCAATCATCATGGTTATTCTGACCTTCGAGGCAGCTACTCTGAACAATAGAGAGCAGGAGTGTGACATCACGGCGGCCATATTGTTATTATTGCTTTCCAAACAAAAGTTGAAATGCTCAATCTCAAGACTATTTAATTTCTATAAAGTTAAAATTCTCCTTCCTCTGCTGTTTTTTCTTTAAAGTATAGTGTTTTTTACGATAATACCATCATAGCCATGTTAGTGTCCAACATCCGTAACGGATAGGCACCATAAGAAGAATGGTTCAAAAGTTTAAATTAAAGAAATTCTAACCTTACTTTATTGATACATGCATTTTATTGCTATTTTTATAAAACAACATGCTTTATTATTTACACAACCTTGTAAAATTGTTGTAGTAACTATTAGAATACTTAGATATTGCAAAAAGCGGAAAGATTCTGTAAAAAAATGAACAAATAAAGAAAAATACAAATTATCCACACTAAACAAGGTTTGTTTGGGAAGTGTAACTGACAGATGTCAATAAAATCTACGTCATCACTCCGGCAGTCCATTGCCTTGAGCTGCAACCAAACCACTCTCTCAGGTTCTTCAACCAGCAAAAGAGTTTTCTTTCTACGCTTCTCCTACCTTCTATTTTTCCTTGAATGAGTCTCAAGCCTCGTCCAAAGCATCACAAAATTTTACAGTAGGTTGTCGTTTTTAATTTATGAATAATCAAGTACAATGTGTTTCCGGTTTTGCGGCATTGTTCCTTCCAAGAATGTGAGAAAGCCCGATTATCCCTTCAGTGTACAGTTATGTGACCTTGACAGTTCTAAGATTTCTCGTTTATCAGTGCCATCCTAACAGTCAAATTGAGTCGTCTATTACCAAAGGCGGCAATCTCCATTTTTTTGTCAAACTGAGTTAAATTACGGAATGTACAGGTTAACTTAAGTCCTTTCAGAAAAACATTTCTGTCATTATCATAGTCGACTATAAATAAGTGTAATTACATAAACAAAATATCATTCAGTTTCAAAAACGGACATAAAATATGAATATTACTTTCAAACATGGCAATCTCCCTCTTAGCCAATCAGACGGCTCGCTGTGATTCACATGATGTTATTTTATAACCATACTTTTTAGTTATTTAAATAACTAAAACAAACGGTGTTTGGTTTTGTCAATTTATATTTGTATAATAAATTATCACAAATCATAATGGAACAACAAGCTGTTAAATTACCACCAACTAATTGTAGAAAACGTTTTAGAGAGCCTGAAAACTGGAAAGTAAATAAGCAGAAAAAATTAAGGTAACTAATATGAGTCACGTAGTGATATGAGTTTTATAACGTAATTTTTTTTTAGATATTCGTCCAAAAATCTACCAGTGTTTCCAACATGTGGCCACAATAATATTTACCAATGTGCAACATTATCAATGAGAGACATAATGGCATTTCATCAGTCCTTTTATGAGTTTAAAGATAAGCTTAAACAAGATGCCCTAATTATGAAATATTGTGCAATTGAAAATGTTCGTAGACATAGACCAAAAAATCAAAATAATACGCAAAAATAACATACAATCAAATGCTTTATACGCCGAGAATCTAATGCTGTAATAAGAGTTTGTCAAAAAGCATTTTTGGAAATTTTAGGAATTACTAAACATAGATTATCGTATGTTATGAATACGTTTGTCAAGTCTGGAGGAACTCCTCGGGAGAACAGAGGCGGCGACAGAAAATCAACACTTTTTCAGGCCAAAAAAGATTCAATCATAAATTTTATTATTTCTTTTAAATGCATAGAGTCGCACTACTGTAGAGGTACAACTCAGCAAAGACAATATTTGCCGTGTGATTTAAATGTGAAAAAGTTATATAAAATGTACCAAGAATCTGTATCAGAAAATGTTGAGTTACGTGTAAAGGCATCATATTTTAGAAAAATATTTAATACCAACTTTAATATTGGATTTGGTACACCCCAAAAGGATGCCTGCTCCACCTGTATAAGCTTGACAGAAAAAATTAAACAAGAATGTGATGGTGCTAAAAAACAAGAGCTTATTACAGAGAAACGAGTTCACTCGTTAAAAGCACAAGCTTTTTACAGATATCTTAAAGAAAAAGACGAGAATGTTATTATTTTCAGTTTTGATTTTCAAAAAAACCTAGTACTTCCAAAAGTGGCGGATCAAACAGCATATTACAGCAGGCAACTTTATATTTACAACTTTTTAATGGTTCAAGGTTCCTCCAAAGACCAACTGAGTCAACAAAATGTATTTTCATATTATTGGACTGAGGATGTGCATAGCAAGGGATCCAATGAAGTAAGCTCAGCAGTTTACCACAGACTTAATGCGACAAATTTTGGAGATGCAAAGATATTAAGGTTGATAGCGGATGGATGTGGAGGCCAAAATAAAAACACGATTGTTGTTACTATGATTAACAAATGGTTCCATGAGACTAGGTCATCTATCGAAAAAGTGGAATTAATATTCCCTGTGGTTGGTCACTCTTTTATGCCTCCTGATCGGGTAGCAGGATTAATTGAGAGAGATATAAGAAAAAAAAATACTATTATTTCACCTGCGGAATATACCAGTGTTTTTAAACAATTTGCCAGCGTAATTAATGCTGAAAAAGATGTGCCTGTATACGACTGGAAAAATGTCACGGAAACTTGTACCAAACGTCCTAGTGCATGGCATTTTCAATTTAATCCAGCAAAACGTTTCATATTTACTAAATCTCAGCGAGAAAATATATTAGTGCAAGGAGAAGTATCTTACAGAATAGAAGTCGGTAAACCCAAAGGAGTTCTAAAAAAAGGCGTAACACCTGCTAATATTAAACCAACAGTAATCCAACCCCGATTAGTGACTCCGAATCCTTTAAAATTAAAGGATGTCGATAATTTGTTAAAAAAACATTACGGGGAAAACTGGAAGGAAGATAAAAGATTATGTTATTTTGGAAATATCATACACCCATCAAATCCTCAAACTTCTGAGAACAATACTCCAAATGAGAACAGTTACTGTGCCTTAGACAATAGTGAAGAATTTTTTATATAACTTGTAGAGAATAAAGCATTTTTGTCAATTTACAACTGTCTTTAATTTTATCTTTATTCTATATACACATACATAATTATAAATAATCGTATAATGATAATTGTTTAATACAATATTCCATGATCAGATATATACAATACTTGATATCAAAAACAGCAATCTCCACTACGTTTGGTTTCATAACAGGAAAACTCCAAACTTGACTATCAAACTCGGAAATCTCCATTCTATTTTCACGAATTTTTGATTTAATTTTAACCAAAACAAGTTACAAATAACGAAAATCGTTACAGCAAATCCAATGTTACGACCTGTCAAGAAATTTTTAATAGCAGTAAGTGATAAGTTGACAATATGATTTTTACCTCACTGTGGAAAATGTCATTGTGAGGAGATTGCCGCCTTTGATATTAGACGACTCAATTACAGAATACACCATCCAATTGTTGGGTCAGCGACTCTCAGAGATTGAAATGTCATAAGCTATCACATTGCTTTACTACAAACAATAAAAATTGTATTTATTATTGGTTCTTGTTTCACTTTACCATTGATTGATAGACTTCATGTCAAAAGTTGATAGGTGCTTGATTTCTTTCAACCAAAGAATATATTTTTTAATTTTTCTTCATCTAAAGTTGGTAGTATCGAATGTTGGTGGTCATGTATATCCTATTAAGTTTAGTGTGATTGCTAGAAATTTTCCTGATTTACCTCACTCCAAAAAGAAAGCTAAGTGATTTTTTGAATGTATTCAGCGATAATTGAGAAGACACCATTGGTACTCCATCTTATACATGGTACTTGAAAGCTAGGCGTTTCCTGGTTGATCCAATAATTATTTGATACTGTAAAGCGAATACATGATAGGAATTTACTAGAAGAATATGATTTTTAACTGAAATTCGCTGTAAAATGATTTTATTTGAGTTTAGGAAACACACACATGGTTAATAATTTTGGATGTGGATGATATCTTTGATTTGTTTTTATAAACCTTTTAGTAATTACCTAATGAGTTTCATAAATAATAAAAATACAATCATTTAACGAAAAATCTAATAAAAAAGTATTACCTTTTCCTTCTCAATATCTTTCTCCTCTGGTTCCTTTTCTTTGTCACTCTCCTTCTCGTCTTTGCTTTCCTCTTTGTTATCTTTTGATTCTTCGGCTTTGGGCTTGGGTAAATGAGAATTCAAGTCCAATGTTGTGCAAATGTCGTCCCAGTCAGAAAAGCATCTCTCTTTCATACGGTTAACCAAACCCACCAAGTTGGGGCAGGATTCTGTCATGAAATCTCTCAATGGATAGCTCACCTCTTTGTCGATGAAGTAGATTTGAGCCAGGTGTGCGAAAACAACAACGTCCAACTAAAAATACAGTTGTTTAAGTATAAAAGTTTACATACAATTAATAAAATCAAATCTATTGGTCAGCTAACAGCAATCAACAAATTTTAAGTTAATTACTACAATATATAAGCAAACAAACTGTACTATCAATAACAGCAAGGTTATAGTTTTACAGTATTTTCCTTAAAGGGAACTCCAAGTATTTTTTTGGACGAATTTAAAAGACGCTATTGATATTAATAAGGTCTTATTATAGGTTACAGAACATAAGTACTGTATATATTTTACACATAGTACTTATATCTACTATAATATCATTGCCAACATGTAAGAACACCCAGATTTATCTTGCTACTGATCCTCAGCAATAGCGAATAACAGGAAGCTATACAATGAACATATTGACTTATATCAACGATAATAAAATATTTGAAAATGGCTTTATCTTCCAGTGAGAAATATCTGATAGCGACCTTTCACACTAAGTGTGTTTTTCGTTCATACTACCTCATGTTCTGCCCTATATTTAAGGTTTAAGAGGTAGTGGCAATAAACACGGTATGTAGCGCCATCTATCTTGAATACCAGAAAATAGACACATTTATCGTTTTTACTGTCAAGTGGAGAACTTTTCCTTCCGGTATTGTATATCTGGGAATAGATATAACTAGTTACAGAGATAGCAAGTAAAAAGCAAGTAAAGCGGCGGGATCTCGTAATGACACAATTTGGAAGAACAAACACCTAAGACAAGACACAAAAACAAGAATCTATAAAGCAGCAATTAGACCTATATTAATATACACGGCGGCGGAGGCAAGCCCAAGACATGAAAATACTCTCGACAAATATCAGGGAAAAGTCTGTTGGATAGGGAGTGAAGCGAAAACATAAGAAGAGCATGCAATATAGAAGAGATAAGTGGATGGGTGACAAAACGGAAACAGGAGTGGAACGAACACATTAGTAGAATGGCGGAGGATAGGATGGTACTAATAGCACGAGATAAGTCACCAAATGGATGAAGAAGTATTGACAGACCAAGAAAAATATGGTGTAACAATTTGAACAATTTAGGAGGCTAATATTAAGAAGAAACCTGGCTTTAAAGCCTACATACAAGAAATAAGAAGAAGATCTGAGAGCAAAACAACAAATAACGAACTCCCTAGGATGGAAAAGCTTGTGACCATATTAAGTTCAGTCAGAGATCTTCAAACTCTTCGATGGGAGCTTCAAGAAAGAATTAACTATCATTTTTAATAAGATAGAACAGTGGAACAATAACCAAAAGAACGGTTGAGAACAGAATATATAGTACTACCAAAAATCAAGGGGCCGAAAAGAGCAGTGATTACAGAACAGTAAGTCTCATAAGTGACTTGTTGAAATTGTTTTTAAAAATCACACATCGGAGATTACCGATGCAAAGAACCTGCAAAGAACAAGTATCACCAACAAAATTTGATTTTATGAAAGGTCTGTAAACAAGAGATGCCTTATTCATCATACAACGAACATTACTAAAATGCATTGATAAAGAATCTGGTTTGCAAATCCACCACGGGTCTAGTGAGAGCTGCAACAAATAACATTATCATAGCCAGAATGATTGCCAACATTCGATACTGGATCGGCACTAGAAGAAAAAGAAAGTTTAAAGTTTCAGAATATGATTATTTTAAGTATAAAAAATATGAGCAATTCCATAGAAAAAATGCGGTTAATATCAGTAACTGAAAGATCTGCCACAAAGAAAAAATACTGCATACAATCATTATCAATATATACTTTTATTTAGTACTTCTTATAGTTACTTGTAGTATTCTTTACTGAAAGACAAAATGTTGATGTGCAATAGTGGCACAATTCAATAAAGACTACCTAACACTCTCCAAATACACCAAAATTAATTTTTTTAATTCCAATCCATTTGTAGTAAAACAAATAAGACAAAAACTGTAGCTAAAGGTTTTACTTCAAATGAAATCAAACAAACTTTCGTGTTAAATTAAAAGGGAATGTTTGAACATTACGCAAATTTAGTATATCAGTTTCCCTGTCCCCATTTAATAAACTCGAATGAAAATGAAGAGAAAAACGATAAATTTACGCTACCTGAAGTTTTTACAATCATTAGTATAATATGTATGCAATCTAGTTGCAGATATTTACATCCCAGTTAAGTTACAAACGATTTCTATATTCAATATTCAACAGGCAAATGAAATTTCCTGGCTGACAAACGCGCGTAGAATTAGTAATGTTAAAAGTATTAATAGATATACTTACTGTAGTGGGTTCGTCTCCGAAGAAGAATGGTTTATCGGCTAACATTTCTGACAATACTTTCAAATCCTCCTGGCCGAATTCGTTAATTTCATCCGCTGAATGAACTCCCATTCCTTGTGCTTTGACCTTTTTGGTTCCCTGGAACCACTAAATTGTCAATAGAGAATTAAAATATAACTCTACAAACAACACTGGAAATTTCATGCAGAACATGCAAACATCCTTACACCCAACCCCAAATATTTATGTTGGAAACATTTACTACATTTATTAAGACTCATTAATATTGGGTCAGTTCAATTTTATTTCATATGTGAACGGCGTTATGCATCACTAGACCAAGCGCCAAAAATTGATTTTGAGATATTTGACTTCAAAAGAAATTAAACAAAAATAGAAAACTTGGACTCAGTCTTAACAGTTGGTACAATTTTCTGAATATTATGAAAATAGTAAATAAACATTACTCATCTTGTATGCCAAAGTCGTAAGTCTCCATCATATCCATCAATGTCATCTTCTACTGTATTGTTACTGAAAAGGGAGCAATACGGAGGTTTTGCATCATTTGGTATTAGGTGCATTAAAGATCTTAAGTCGTTAAGCTTAGGCACAGAAAGTGGTTTGACTGTGGACCAAAAAGGAATCGAAGTGTTTACTTAGGGATTGTATTGCAACGGGCCGTCCTTTTTTAATTTCTTGTGAAGATCTACTTTAACTTCACTTGTGTTACAATCAGTTTTCTTAAAAATACTCAGTGGTTTATCCTTTCTTATTTCAATTTTTCTTGTAAGCCAGCTTACCTTACTATTTTCTATGTCTGATTTACAGTTTGTAATCATATTTTCTAACTTCTTTGTTCCAACGAATTCTTCTTTTTTCATTCTGTGAACTACTAGTAGGTTCTTTTTACGGGATTTATTAATCACGTTTAGGTAAACATCAACGGTATATAAACGTTCAATATCTCCAAAATCACTATTGTAATGTAAGCGTAGCAAGTGAGTGAGAAGTTGGAATAAAGGGATAATGGAACAATAAGTAGCATAGAAAAGATAATAATTATTCGAGATAATTATCATATATTCCAAATTAAATAAGGGATAATTAATACAGTTAACTTATACATTTAAATTATACAAAGTATAACAATTGACCTAGTTATTGCATTGTTTGATAATTGTTTAAACGTATAAAAAGCACGAAACATCCGTGACCCAAATAGGCAGCAATAATACCAAAACTGCAACTCAGCGAACCTACGACCTTGGTACTAGAACCGGCGTTGAAAGTACGACCACAATAAAACAAGAAGAAACGACGGACGTCGGGCAGTAGGTAGTCAGTAGTCAGTCAGTCAGTAGTGATAACGGGGGCGCCGTAACGGCCCGCCCAGGGCAGTGATCGCCGGACGCGATAGCGTCCAGTACGGGACAGTCGGTGATTTTCCGGGGGCCGGGTATCTTCTGTCAGAATTCGCGGGTAGTCCGGTTATTGTGGCAGCTCGAAAGTTCGCAACCCTCAACTGACCGAGTTCCAGAAGACTGAACGTGTCGTGGTTGAAGCCCTAATATACACATAAGGTAACAGATTTCTTATACTAACCTGTGTAATTATATTTGTACCTCTGTCAACTTTTCACTATCTTGCTACATCGTCTCCCGACGCGCAGAATAACGTGTTAACGATTGTATTAGGAACTTCAGGGTAGATTCAATATATTGTTGACTCTAATATGGTTTTTTTTTTAATGTTCCTTCGTCCGACTCACTAGAGACTAGGAGAACACGAGAATTCTGCGTATACATATCTCCGGCTTCAAAAGTAAGCCCATAACCTCTACTCTTTACAGGACCTGAGACCGAGGAGTTCTTACCCCTATCCCGAAATCCCTTATCTTCTCGTAAATCCACGAAGACGAGCCAGCCCTCCAGACCAGTGTGACCAGTATTCCTTGCAGCCGCTCGCAGGGTTAGCATCCCTTGAGGATCTATTGTATTTCATTTGGGGACAGCGTTTCCATTACCCTCATATAACGCTCCCATTCCCTATTATTTTACAGTGGTGACAGCGGAGTCGCCTGCGATTATTACACTATCATTGGGTAAAAAACTATGACCAGGAAAGAGATAGCGTAATGTAATTTTTCAATGGTAGGATGAGTTTCCAAAATCGTTTTCAGAATCAAAAGTATTTTGATGTTGCGGTTTTGGCGGCCACAAGAGTCTGATCACAAAATTAGTGTTTTGTAGAAGTAACATTTTTTTCAATGTGTTTCTTAAGACAACTTCCTACTTCCTGGGCTCTTCGACCAGCTTCACCTTCTATCCAAACATAACAACGACTTTTATTATCCTTGCCGCTATGGACACCAAGGTTGTAAATACATAATTGACACGCTTATACATACGATATTTGTTGGAATTCTAAAAGGGGAAGAGTTTTTTCTAAATCAAAACAAAAAGGTTTCTATTTCTGGTTGATCATTGCTCATTTTCATGTCTAGCTTTCTTCTAGATTGTGCATTTTCAGCTTCTTCACATTTTTTTCTTCCTTTAACTGGCTTAATTTTTCGTTATCTGCGCATCACATCTACTACAAGTATCTTTTTTCAACTTTTTCTTTGAAGATTACATCGTGTTAAAAATATTTTTTTTTTGTAAAACGAAAATTTAACAGGATCATTGTCTGTTTCTTCAATATACAATTCATACATTTTACTTAATGTTGTGTCTTCTGTTAGGTATTCTCTTTCTGTGTTAGCTCTTCTTATAATGTGACTTTTACTTAGGGAATTTCGTTATGTGCTCAATTACTTTTTGTACACGATTATCGTTAATTTTATTATGACCTACACTTTGACCACGACAATCTCGAACACCCATTGGACGTTTCATAGCTTTTAATGCTGCATTGACTTTGCAACTTGATATTCTCAAGGTCTGTAAAAAGAAAGGTTTACACACTGTCACAGCGGATATTGTGTATATCCTTGTATCATGAGAGCATCATGATATTTAACATTGTAAAACTAATCAAATTCTTTTTTGGCATTATCCTCACCAATCTTGCCCAAACACTTACATTTACAAAGATACATATGGAACTGTTTTGATTTTTTACATACATTTCTCTAATTCGCGACTTTGATTTAAGTACTTCCTATTCTCCTTTTTTTATGGTCTCCCCCATGAGTGAATATTTTTTTCTTCACTGCTTATGAGTGATCACTTCACTCCTTAATGCTATTTTCTCTTCTTTTGTTCCTGCTGAGGAATAATGTTACTTCTTGTTTCTCCTTTAGAAGTTAAAGGCATCTGCAGTGATTCTTCTTGTGCATCTTCTGTAGAAAAATTTAAGCAATAACTGCCACTATTTGTTAATCTTAACGCCTCAACAAGTTACTGTCAACAACGTTCATGTATGTATGTTGCCAAATATTCGATTTACAATTATTAAATTGCTCGCAAGGGGCGCTTGGTCTACTGACGCAAAACTATTACACAAAATTAGTCGCTTGGTATAGTGATGCAAAACTCAAAATCCAGAATAAGAAGAAAGGCACTTGGTCTTTTTAAATATGTCCGGTTAACCGTTTCTAACAGATTAATGGAATTTATTCTGTAGATGCTATTTCTCACCAGAAAGCGCCACAATTTGAGAAAATGGTGTTTGGTCTAGTGATGCATAACGCCGTCCATATATTTTAAAATTAAAGTTTAAAAGAAAATCTCAGTTATAGATTGTCTTGATCGTGTGTTATATGTCTTAATGAATAAATTGACAAAATTATATAAATTAAAAAATATATATCACGCAGATTTAAAAACGGTAAAAATAGCATCAAAAATCATTACAATTTTCTAATGTGAAGAAAATAGCTAGACTTTTTAAAATTCACATAAATTTGATTATAGAAAAACAAAGAATATTAAAAACGGCTTCAAAACACAGCGTAGTGACTTTTTATATCATTTTGGATACGGATTTCAAGATCACGAAAAAACCAAGAAAAAAGTGGCTGCAAGAAGTTAATATTATGTTTTACAAATTTACGCAAACTCAACAATAATTATAAAAAATAAACTCAACACCATTATAATGTAGTTACACATTATAATTTCAGTAATTAAAACTGTAAAAATTTCAAATAACACTACATGTAAAACGTGAGGCCTGACTTTTTCTAGTTTCACTTACTGTAATTAAACTATTCCAAAAAGTAGAAATATATAGGCCGAACCTTCCAAAACGCTTATAGCCAATCACTTCTTGGTGAATCATGAAGTTGGGCATCTCTTATACTTTGTGACAAATCATAGAATAAAAAGGAGGTTCTTAAAAGTCAATTAGTGAGTAAAAAAAAATTAACCTGTTTACACAAACGAATTAAAATATCGTCTAGCAAAACGGGCGATTAGTACCGCCCCAAGAATATATATTTTTTATTACTACCAACTTCTGAATGTAGAACCAAAATGATTAAAAAAAATAATTATATAAATTAACAGTTTAACTGGTTCTATAGGTATGTTTTTTATCTCATCATTTCGAAAATAAGTTCAACTTTTTCATCTAGGTGCTCCGTATTATGGAGATTGATTTTTTTTTCAAAACAAAACTTAAAACTTTCATAATTCATTAATTTCTTTGTTATTTTCATGTCATATTACTTATGTATTTGTTAAAATCTTTAGAAAAACAATGCAGAGAAGCTAAAGAAAACTAGATGTCAATGATGAAAGACACGACAACTTTAATGTCCAAAAGAAAGTGAAAGAAATGACAGGTAGATACGAAAAACGACAAGAAATAATATAATAACGAAATAATTACATATACAGAAGACAAATTGGCGAGATGGGAAGAATATATTCAAACACTGTTTGCTCCACCATCCAGAGGTAATCGAATAAATGTATTTTTCTCCAACTTTTCAAGGTGCTCTCAAATTTGAAAAAGAACTTCTTGACTTATCTCAGTTTCTAGACCAAAATTAAACCTATTATGGGCTTGAAAACGTAACACCAAACCACCTGTACCATCTTTTCATAAGTAGTTCATAAATGTAAAAAAAAAACAAAAGGAGTACTCAAAAAATAAGCAAAGGATACTAAAAATGTGCTACTAATATCGAAATCTCATGATACATCTACTGGATTTGTCAGAAGAAAACACCGAACTTTAAAATCCTGAAGCGATATCTGTTACACATTTCATGGAAACAGTAGATTTGTCAGATAAAAATATATTGATTTGACTATTTCCTCATATCTGCTAAATGGTAGCCTAAGTATTTTTATTAATTAGGTACTAAGTTGGATAGATGTGATAAATGTTGGGGACCATTATCTTAACAAGTTTCAATTAGAAGAACACTTGAGGAGGAGTTGCAACTGGAACACAGTTGTTCTAAATCTACCAAAGAATTTGTCGATACAAAAAAAGATCATCCTAAAACCCGAGATTTTAAGTATTCCCAATGAAAAAGCATAACTGATTACACAGACGAAAAAAATCATTGCTACCACATGAAAATCAAGAAAAATCGAATTTGATTATCACAAATATTAACAATTATCAGAAACTAACGTGATTTGATACAGAATTATTATTAATCAATGAAGTAATTGTATTTTAATAAAACCATATCATAAAGAAACACAAAAATAAACAATGTAATTGTTGATTTCACTTCCATGATTTTCTACAATTTCTAATTAAATCGTAATTTCTCATTTTGTAATCAAATTTTATTATTCAATCTAATAATAATTATTTAAATCGTTAATATTTGTAATTTCTGTGTAGTTAATGGTTAATTTATTTGACATATATTTCCCCCCTTTCTTTTAACTGTTTACTGAACCACAAAATTGAGATTAAAGAAATTAAATTTTATTTTACAGCCATTTAACTTAAATATCCAATTTTAACACTTATTATTGTTTATTGAGTGAGTAGTGAAGATGGTTTTGATGTTTAGAGGGTTAAGAGTTCTACTGATCTTGTCAGTGACGCCTTTGATAAAACGTACCTTTTATAAAAAGTGTCACTGACAAGATCAGTAGAACTCTTAACCCTCTAAACATCAAAACCATCTTAACTACTCAATTCAAGCTGTCCAATCTCGTCAGATCCGTAAAAGACCAAATCCTCAATGAAGACCATTGTGTCTACGAGATATCTTGTTCCAGTTGCCCATGTAAATACATAGGACAGGCAAACCGACGAATCCACAACCGTATTTACGAACATTCTATATAATAGGGAGAAAAGCCGATATGTGTGCTACCCCTACAGTTAGGTGGCTTAACCACAGTTAAGAAAAACAGAGGGTGTTCCGTTACCCAGAACATCCAAAGTAACGCTCACAACATAAAAATCCTCACGTAATTCACACGCTGAGGAGGGGGTGGAGGAAAAGCCTGGGGGTCAGATAGGTACCACTTCAATAGCGAAGTGAGACCGGTTTGATCTTCGGACATGTGAATGCCACTCGACCATATGAAGCACGATAAAATGATACGAATCCTATAAGAGTTCGGGCTCAATAGATGGGACATAATAATTATCCACAATATATACTGGAATGATAATGGGTGTGTTCGTACTGCAAATGATAGCATAAACTATCTCAGCATAAAATGCGGAAAAGATCGGGGATGCCTTAGATGCAGAACAGTATAGAAACGAATTTGTCGTAATGGTCGCCAACCCCAATATAGATGATAAATAGGAGGCGGAGAACCTCACTAAAATATTACAAAATTAATGTACAGATGAAAGACATATTATAGGGAAATGCTTGAGAAAAATAAATGTACCTAATGCATTGATAAAAATTATAGAAAGTACTTACAAAGAGGTAAAAGGAAGGGTACAAATAACAGGCGAAAGATCGAAAGCATTTCAGTGGAAGAGAGGTATTAAACAAGGAGATAGTCTCAGCCCTTTGCTATTCATAATAGTAATGAACGAATTGATAAGAAACACTAGAGTCAGAACCAATCAACTACAGACAATAATAGGTTACCACAGATTACAACCGGTAACAATAGAGTCCTTAATGTATGCAGATGACATAGTACTAATAGCAGATTCCGAGAATAAAATGCAGAAACTAATGGATATATGGGTAGAACAAATAGAAGAACTAAAAATGGAGATAAACGAGGAAAAAAGTAAGATAATGATAATCAGCGGCAAAGGAGATCAGGAAGATAATCAAATATATATAAAATGTAAAAACTCAGAATTGGAAATAGTAACAACTTACGAATACCTGGGAAGTATAATAACTCATGACGGAAAATAGACTGGGAAATAACAAATAGAGCAAAGAAATTAAACAAGTTATACTATGCGTTAGCCCCAATAATGGGAAAAAGAGAACTTACACTAGAAAAAAGAATAAAAATATATATCACAATAGTGATACCGACTGTGCTCTATGCACGTGAAAACTGGACAATTCTGGAAAAACATAAAAGCACGATAAACGCAATGGAGATGAGACATCTAAAAAGGATAGTTGGAAAGACAAAATGGGATAGATTAAGCAATGAAACTATTAGGGGAATCGCCCACCAGGAACCGATAATGAACAAAATAGCAAAGAGACAAATGAACTGGTATGGGCATCTGATGAGGATGCAATCCAATAGAATAGCAAGAACAGTCTATGAAGCAAAAAACATCGGAAAAAGAAAAAGAGGCAGACCAAGAAAAAAATGGATACAGCAAGTAGTAGAGGCGGGAAATCTTAAACAAAAATCACTCGAGAAATTAAAAATAACGGCAGGAAACAGAAAAGAATGGAAGAGATGGGTAAATGGAAATTAAAATAGCTAGCCCAAATCCAACACCCTGATAGGGTAAAAGGAAGGGAAGAAAGAAAGAAAGATGTACAGATGTCTGAATTTGATAACCAAAAAAATATGGTTCAAAAAATAATTTAGCGGACAGCGCACTATATATCCAATTCTTTTTGTTTGCATAGGGTCGTAGAAAAAATATTGTTTACAACTTATGTATAAAGTGTCTTTTTTATCTCATGAAAATATCATAAAACTTTTTCATTAATAAAAAACAGTAACAATGTATGGACTTGTTGCCTAAATTACTATTTTATTTTGTTTGTTTTTCGTATAATTATTGTTGAGTAGTTCTTACGTTTTAAAAAAATTTCATATGTATACTTCCACTATATTATTAATAAATATGAAGTATCACGCAAAACCTAATTACTTAAAAAAGTGCATTGCATTTTTATAGCGAAAATTTAATGAAAACCACTAAACAGCATTTACAGAAAAGTTTCATAAGAACATTTCATAATAATATTATCTACTAATGCAGCATTTCGTTAACAATACTATGAAAAACATGGGACATCCATTAAATTATCTACTAAGTACTTTCTAACAAAAGATGAGGATATATTAAAAATAACGGGAGTAAGAAAAAAATTGTAAATATTTTTAATTATGCATCATTTGAAAGTAAAGTAATACTGAACCGTTGCATAGAGTTCATGGTTGTACCTGGTTCTCCATACTCCGTTTTCGTTAATGGGTCAAAATATCTTTGCCAAAAAATATTTACGATCTACAGTGTGTGTTTTTGGAGTGGAACACATGGGCGAGTGAAAAGTAAGCTTTGCTTCTCTTACTATTCTTCTTTGTATTTCTATTTCTTCTCTTCCGTCCGTGTTAAATTCAACTCCTAGATATGAAAAACTATCTACAGTTTCAATATCGTCCTCTAATGCAACTTCTCGTCTGTTTCCCTTAGCTCTTGCCTGTGTTACTTTTTGTCTTTTGAATATTTATTTCTGTTACGGTCTCTTTTGCCTCTGTTTTTAATTGTCAATACATGTACATGATAACTTGTAGAAATTGATATTATGTCCTTTTCATTAATTCGCCAAAATATTTTAGTTCTCTTATTTATTTCTCTGTTCAAAATCATTTCTTTCGAAAATATTTCCAAAACTTCTTATTTGTAACTATACGTTCAGTAGATACAGTTACTGTTGTGTAAACAAAAATGTTATCAATAAAAACAAGGTTACAACTCGTTATTTTTCTATATACCCTCAGATTTACACTAGAAGGTGGTAACTATATAATGAAAGAATGCTTACCTTTCTACCAAAAGCAAATTTAAAGAAGAAATTAAGAATACCGTTGGGTATCCTGGTTCCAAGTGCGTGTTGTAAATTTACTTTGTATCCCTTGAGCACTTGATCAGGATATTTTGTGCGCCACCACATTACGACCCAGGCTAGATGGTTTTCGATCATAGAAATTGTGGCGTGGGCCAGATTTCTCTGCTCCGCTGTCAAACACGCATCCAGATCATGACCGAATTTTTGCGAAAGATCTTTTATGATGATGGCACTGTCAGCGATTTCTTCTCCGTTCAATTCTATAAACGGCAACTGGCCTTTCTTTGAGCGGTATTTCATTTTGTGGTCGACATTCTGAAACAAAAAAAATTATGATGAATTACACTCATTTCAAACCAAAATCAAATGCGTTAGGTTGATTCTAAAAATACAAAAGAATAATAAATTTTATTTATTGGTGATTTATATTTTGAAAACGATTTCTGAAGTGGAAATCAAAACGTTAAAATAAACTTATTTTAAAGTAAAATTGTGGCTTATTCCATTTAAATTCCATTAAATTGCCATTTAAATCAAATCGCTCAAATTTGCTTGTCTTTACACATTTTTTAAATGCTAAAAGTACGACAGGTCAAATAAAAATAATAAGTTTGGCAACAAAATTCAACTTCTCCTACTGAGTTACTTCCTCTATTTAATTATCGACAAAGTATTTCTGAGACCTAATATCACTATGTCGTTTTAAATATGTTTCTCTTACATCCTATCGTTGAAAACTCATACCTGCCTTAATTTTTTTTTCCAAATCTGTATATGAAAAGATCTGATTTATGAGATAATTTAAAAAGACATTTAACGAAAACTCGACTTTGTGGTGCGAGAGAAATACATATATATCGGTAATAAGTTTGTCGATAAAGAAATATATGAGGGCAGGATTATGTTACAAGGCTGTAACAGGTAGTACAGTATTGTGCGAATTAATGGAATCACTGTGAATTTTTTTTTCATTTTTTCAATATTCACAGTTGGCAACACTACCTAGACAGTTGACAGCTGACCAAGCATTGAAAACATAACCTTACTGTGTGTTGGTGTGTTTGAAAGTGTTTTAGGTCATTTCTTACCAAGCTTGTGTTGTTTTGGGGGTTTTTGTACTATTTTGTGTTGTTTTTGGTTTTATTTCAACATGGATATTACGCCTAGGAAGCGTGAAAAGATTGTCACGTTGAGTGAACACACTAGTATGTCACAAAGAGAGATTGCTAGAACGTGTGGAGTGAGTCAGGCGGTAGTAAGCAAAATTTTGAAGCTTAAACGAGAAACGGGATGAGTGGATGTGAAAAGGTTAGGAAAATGTGGAAGAGAAAAACAACACCAGCAGATGATAGATTTTTACTTCGAAAGAGCAAATTGGACCCAAGAAAATCAAGCCAAGACCTACAACAAGATATAGCAGCATCAGCTATAGTGATTCATGACAACTGTTCGTAGAAGACTTTTGGAGAATGCTAGAAGGCAATTCGTCCACAGAAAAAAAAACAGCTTCTAACTGAACGAATGAAGAAACAAAGGCTACTGTGGGCCAAAAAATACTCTAATTGGACTGTAGGCGACTGGAAAAAGTCCTATTTACAGATGAAACCCACTTTATAGTTCAGGGACAGCGGTCGAAATTCGTCAGGAAGTCTGACGATGAAAAGCTTACACCATCTCATATTGATCAAACCGTAAAACATCCAGTCAAGAAAATGTTTTGGGGATGTTTTTCATACATGGGGGTTGGATCTTTGGTGCCAATTGAAGGCATGATGAACAGCCAAAAATACAAATCCATGTTGGAAAAGTATTTGGACAAACAACTCCAAAAATGTCAACCCCAAGGAGGAGCGATTCTTCAACAGGACTCTGCTCCCTGTCACTAATCAAAGCAAATGATGGCATTTTTCAAAAATAAGAAGATTAATGTTTTAGATTGGCCCGGTAAATCGCCCGACCTCAACCCCATTGAAAATTTATGGGCCATTTGCAAAGCTAGACTGCGAAAAATCGACTGTACCACTAAAACAAAAATGATAGAAGCGGCCATTCAGGTTTGGTATCGAGATGAAAGGATATCTGACAACTGACAGAAACTTATAGAATCTATGCCAAAACGGGTAAAAGCAGTAATTGCTGCCAAAGGGGGACATATTTCCTACTGAATGATGTAAGTTTACCTTTATAGTTTTGTCAAAATATAATTTTTTATTAAATAAACTGTTTTTTCATTAAAACAGCCTATGATTCCATTAATTCGCACAATACTGTATATTGGCCAAATCATGCAGGCGTCATAAAGACAATATGAATATATGGAAGCCTCTGCTTTGGAGCTATAAATGATAATAAAAATAATATGTTGGACTACCACATATATGGCAATTGTTAAAGCATTCTTTAAAAATGGAGTAAGTCAACCTATGACATAAAAACGTGAACAAAATAATTCTCCAATATAACTATTTAAGACAAGTGAAAAAGATATGAGCGAATTGAAGGGAGACAAGGTAATAGTGAGTCTGTAAGCTAATGAGATAGTATGCTTGTGCTACAACATTAAAGCAAGCAGAGAAACCAAAATATTGAAGAAGGCCACTAAAAATCAAATAGTGATTGTTTTTTTAATGGCATTGACATTAGTCATTCAGCCAGTTGCAATAGATTCTCCAATCAGACGAATGCACAACTCTATTCCTAATAGAAAACTAACGGATAATTAATAGAATATACGACAAGGAAACTTACAGGGTCACGTGGGCCGCAACAATGTTGTAAGCGTAAGCGACAGATTGGGTCAAAGTGAGTTTTTAATGCAATATTGTTGTATATCCAAATATCAATGCGAGTATCTTTCAATCTGGCTAAAAACATTTTGCCTTCCCCGTGTTTTTCGTATCGCAATGTTGGTATCCGTACTATCGCTGTAAAAATGAAGGTTAACGTGTCGCTGTCTACCCTTTTGAACATAAATGGAGGAATTAAACGCAAAATCAATATTAAAAAGTGGAAAAGAAACATACGTAACCGTCAGAGAAATTCAGGTGAAGCATATATATCTGCTAGAAACGAGAATGTACCGGCAATACCCCATCCACATGTGGTGGGTGCAACATATATACAACAGGGGTGTTGTATATTTTGTTACGAAACGCATTTTTTTTGTAGCCTTATCATTATCGTTCGCTTTATGATTTGTGCTCGTCTGTAATGAGTGTATGATTTGGAATTCGGCATTTTTCGATAATTTCGATTTTTTTTTGGCTTTAGGGTAAATACCCACACAGCCAGACACAAATTTTTAAAAACAGATACAGGGATTACACTCTTCTCGCCCAGGGGCCGATCAGGGCATTTTTATAAACGATAAAAGGTAGGCCTCGGACAGACAGGTATTCATACATTAAGGAAAGACATAAGGAATTAACAAAGGTGGTTATATTTGTATATTCTTTGTTCTGACGAAAGACAGCAAACAATCGTAAATTTCTTTTTTATCTAAAGCAAGAAGATGCAGTATATTAAATGGGTTTTCAATGTTTAATTTTAGAAGTTTACTGAAAAGCTCATTAGATTGAGCCCCATATTTTAAACAATCAAAAAAGATGTGGTCAAGATCACCGCTTTTATTACAGGATTCGCAAAGATCACTCTTAAGTATTTTTATTTTAAATAAATGTGCTGGATAACATGCGTGACCAAACTTCATTCTGCTGATAGTAGTTATACTTTTTCGACTGTAATCGTACTCATTGTACCAAGGTTTTCTCCTTAATTTGGTTTCAAGTCTGGTGTAACGTGTTGGATTTGTGAAGCTGTACTCTTGCTTCATATAACTTCTTCTTGCTTATAACTTAAATAAGTATTTTTATATTTTAGGAGCGATTATATAAGTGCAAATCCGTTTGCGAGGCTGCTAAAATTCAAGTCCAGTTTGGAGATCTCTTCACAACATTTCATAGGCTGGATTATAATGCACAAACTGCACAAACCTGACCAGTTGTATGGAACTTCAAAAGCCACAACGTAGACAGACTCCAGAAGACATATCCAGACGACAATGTACTGTACGATACCACATCCAGATTGGACTGAAGACATTACGAAATGTCAAACATTTGGAATAACACCTCGAAGAATCCAACACATTTAGTAGAAGGTAATAACAGATATGTCGCTACGTGATCAACGTGGAAAACACAATAATAGGCCTAATAAAATGAACGAAACCGACAAAGAACGTAAAAGAGAACACATAAGGAACCACATCAAGAAAACCATTATAGACGCGCTGCATGTACGAAGAACTGCCTTCCTACTGAATTAAATTTGAATAAATGTACAAACTGTTTTGTGAAAAATATCCGCAATGCAATATTTCCCGGCGCACTTACACTGTCGCTTACAACATTGTTGCGGCCCATCCTTCATACAGTGTTACGCCAAGCCCTTGCTACGTCGCTGATCGAACCTTCGAGACTCGAGTAGTATGTTCGAAGAAGCTAAAACCACTGTCGAGACAATTCCAAGGTGTTCTAGCTGTGCCGATACAGTAAATAAATGTCATAAATTAATTGTGTTTTAGTGTTAGAGTTAGAATACTGTAAATAAATTAAAATAAACATTACAATAGATACGTATTGTAATTGCTAATGATTTTAGCAGATAACTACTTTGCGGAGTTTGCTGAAAGAATATGGTCTCGATGAAAAACACGGGATACTTTTTTTATTTTACAAGTCTTTGGATGATATGGATTCATAGAAAATTACCAAATTTTACGATATTTTTTTAACCAAAATAATAGGCGAAGAAAATAATCAGAATCCTAGAAAAAACAGTAAAAATAAAGAATATATTGTTCCGAAGCTATTTTCTTATGGCATTTTAATAATATTTACTATCTTTAATGTGAATTAAGCACAATTTCAGTGTAATAATAATAAATTTGAAAAAAGCATGGACTTCTTAAGGTATGATTAATATATTACTTATAGAATGTGTCATTGCAAACATATTTATGCAACAAAATGATAACAAACACTGCTGTGTCAATAGAATAATTTATATCACATTCCAAGTATATAAATCATCTGGAATCTAATCGAAACAAACGATATTTATCGTAGAAAGAGTGATTCAAGCTCAAGGTCTCCATTAGACATGCAACCGCAAAATAGTAATACGTTATAGCGAAGCATAAAAATTGGTACAGCGGAACTAAATTGCAGAAATCCGTTTATTTTCCGTTGCAATGCAATGCGACTTACTTTAGCAACTGTTACGCTTTTCAATATGTTAGTATGCTCTTTGTC